AATCACAGGAAGGGGGTGTGCTCAGGAGGGTAAGAGGAAAGCCAGCCAGCCACCCTAGGGAGGATCCTGCAGGAGGAACTGAGCTTTGGAAGAGGGAGGAGACTGTGGAACACGTGGATGGCTGGGAAATCTCCGGTGGGCTGTGGTACTCAATCCAGGGAGCTGCCCTGGAGCCGCAGGCAAACCGCAAAAAGGCCAGGGGTGCGACCCCTCCCCACCACCTGCCAGGAAGCTCGCCAGCTCCCCAGAAAGGTGCTCTTCAAACAAAGGATTTAGGTTGGACTGCCTGATATGGACTGTCTCCCAGAGACAATCCCAAGAGAATGGCAGTGATTAGCTAGTGGGATGAGCTACTAAAATGTCTTTATGGTGTGGGGAAGTGGTGAGGGAGTAGCGTGCTTCCTCGTCCATCCCCCTTGGCCCAGACATCCCAGCAAGTCATGATTGCTTTTTTTTAACTTCCTCTTAGGGGCACTTGGGTGGCTCAGTCAAGCGCCCGACTCTTGGTTTCTTGGTTTCGGCTCAAGTAGTGATCCCATGGGGTCGTGGGATTGAGCCCCGGATAGGGCTTGGTGCTCAGCAAAGGTCTACTTGGGGATTTTTTCTCTCTGTCCCTCCCCACTACTCTCTCTCTCTCTCAAATAAATAAATAAATATTTTAAAAACACTTTTTTATATTATGGTAATGCATACTATAAATTTATCATCTTAACTATTCTTTTTTTAGGATTTTATTTATTTGACAGAGAGAGACACAGAGAGAGAGGGAACACAAGCAGGGGGAGTGGGAGAGGGAGAAGCAGGCTTCTAGCGGAGCAGGGAGCCCGATGCGGGGCTCCATCCCAGGGCCCTGGGATCATGACCTGAGCTGAAGGTAGATACTTAACGACTGAGCCACCCAGGTGCCCCTCATCTTAACTGTTCTTGAGTGTGTAGTTCAGTGGGATTAACTATATCCACATTGTTGTATTACCATATCCAGAACCTCTCATCATTCCAAACTGAAACTCTGTACCCATTAAAATACTAACTTCGCACTCCCCCGCACCCCAGTCCCTGGCAACCACCATTCTACTTTTTATCTCTATGAATTTGATTCTTTTAGGTACCTCATATGAGAGGGATCATGCAATATTTGTCCTTCTGTGACAGGCTGATTTCACCTAGCACAATGTTCTCAAGGTTGACCCACTCTGCAGCATGTGGTCCTGATTACTTTTGTCCTGTTACTTTCCACCACAATCTCGGTGACTGTCAATGTCACGCACTCTACTTCCTGCTGTTGTGTCAAATGTGAATTTTGTTTCTATGTTGCTAACATATTTTACATGATTTCTTAATTCTGCCAGTTCACTTTTCTTGTCCAGCTTTGATCACTTATATCTCTTCTTTTTCTTTAAAAATCTTTTTATTTATTTATTTGACAGAGAGAGAGAGATCACAAGTAGGGGGAGAGGCAAGCAGAGAGAGAGGGGGAAGCAGGCTCCCCACTTGGCTTGTATCTCCTGTTGGATCCTTTCTGCTTACCTCTCCTCTTTGAACAGGGGTAGTTCTGAAGCTGAGGGTGAATTCTTTACTCAACCCTCTGTTTACCTTGGCTTTCTTCCACTGTCCACCCAAATGTGAGCTGGCTGGCTGGATGTTATCATTGGTTTGCAATCTCTGTTTGGTCCTCTGGCTTCTTTGGCAATCAGAGGGGTATGACCTGGATTAGTAGGCAACTGAGGGTCTCAATTTGGTTATGTTGCTGCAGAATATTTTTCCACACAGAATCTGAGGAATTTTCTTTCCTGGGGGCACGTAGAGATCCATGGGAGGAAGTCTTCCTAAGATGGGAGCAGGTGGGTGGGAGAGGGAGAAGCAGGCTTCCTTTCCTTTTCACATTCTGGTTGCAAGCTGGGCCTTTATATTGCTTCATGGGGTTTTGGTTTGGATGGGTCAGAGTTTATCTCTGCTCCCATAACATCAATCTGCAGTTGCACAGCTGACTTCTACATTGTTGTTTCTTTCCTTTGTGAAGGGTTGGTGTTTGGCCTTACTAAAATCTGTTTCACCTGAGAGTCGGAGAGGTGAATATTAGCTCTGGGCATCACTCTTCAGGTGGCCTCAATTTTATTGCCTCTGACAATGTAGTATATTGATTTTTAGGATGGACTGGGGTCAGAGTGCCTGAGTTCAAATATTGGTTCTGCCACCTATTAGCTGATAACTGTGACCGATTTATTTAACATCTCTGGGCTACAATTTCCTATCTTGGAAATGGGGCTAATAGTAGTACCTATTTCATAAGGTTGATAAGAGGTTTAAATGAGTTAATATAAATAAAAGGACTTAGGGCAAAACCTGGTATGAAGTATGTGCCCACTGTCCCTATATTTCCTGTAGTCTAAGTGGGGGGCAGGTAAATGCTCATCTCCTGCACCATATTTACAAGAAATCCTTGAGAGTTAGATTCAGTAATGTCTGGGAAGTCCATAGCATGGTGCTTGGCACATAATAGGCCCTCAGAACATGAGTTGAATGTTAAATATTGAGTATAGAGGAAGGAGGGGCAGTGCAGAGGAAGGTGGGGGAGAGAGGCCCCTCAGAAGTTTGTGCTTTGGGCTAAGACTTCAGAATATTGTCCCCTTTCCATCCATTCAAACATTCACTGAATACCTTTATATGCTAGCCACCAGCACATCAAAGAGAAGCCAAATCTCTCCAGGAACTTGCAGCCTTAGAGTTCTCCCAACAGCTCCTTACTCACTTGGATTCTAAATAATGAAAGGTAATTGCATTAAATAAGCAAAAGCCCAGTGATCTTATACTTTAACCCACTGCCTAAAGAGAATGTTCCAGCTACTGAGAAGGACAAAGGCACCAACACAAACTTGGATAATCTCAGACTAACCCGTTTGGCTTTATGATGGCCTGAAGTATTAACTTCTTATGATTCACAAGAATTGCCCCCCAAATGTGACATTTGTGACATGCAGTCACTCTCACCAAGGCAGGCTTGCCCACTGCACAGGGGTCACGTTTCCTGCTTTGCCTATACCTCTTGCTTTTAAAGTTTCAAACAAGACTGTGGACTTGGACGCTTGTATGTATTCTGGGTGCTGTCGTACACAGATGGGGCCCTCTGGCTGGTGTCCTGCTTAAGAATTTGGAGAATTCCATCGAACTCAACTGCAGGAAATACATCTAAATTTGCGGTCATAGGTAGACTGTTCTCCCCATTAGTCTCTATGAGTTCCTGGTCTTCCAGCCAGTTAGGACTATGTTCTGCTATAAGTGACAGAAAACCCCAAATAGCGATGACTTAAGGGAGGTTAAAACACGTTGTTTCTCTTAATTGGAAGTATAGGCCGGCAGTCCAGGACTGCCTCATCTGAGACTCCCTCCTTTTATCTTGCTGCCATTCTCATCATGTGACTACCTCCTCGCTCAATATGGCTGCTTCAACTTGAGCCACTCCATATTCGTTCCAGCCAGCAGGAAGGAGAAAAGAGGAGGGGATGTCCCTCCATTGAACATACTTGCTAGAGGGGCACCTGGGTGGCTCAGTGGGTTGAAGCCTCTGCCTTCAGCTCAGGTCATGACCTCAGAGTCCTGGGATTGAGCCCCACATCAGGCTCTCTGCTCAGCAGGGAGCCTGCTTCCTCCTCTCTCTCTTTGCCTGCCTCTCTGCCTACTTGTGATCTCTGTCTGTCAAATAAATAAATAAAATCTTAAAAAAAAAAATACTTGCTAGAAATGGCACAAAACTTTGCTATCTACATCCCAGTGGCCAGAATGCAGTCACCTGGTCACACCCAGCGAGAAGGGAGGCTTGGACACACAATCTTTATTCCATGTGCTTAATAATTCAGAGACTTTCTTACCGAAGAAGACAAGGTAGACATCGAAGGACAAGCGGTCTCTGCATTCTCTTATCTCTCCTATTGTCCACAAGTTGACTCTTCTGTCTTCTCTGAAGACCAGACTTCCTGTTCACACTGTCCGACCCCTCGGGTTTCACAAGTCCAAGGGCACCAAGTGACAGCTCTTGGCCCAGTTTCATGGGTCTTTTCCCATTTCAAAGTCGCACACTATCCAGACACCTCCACCTCTGTGTCTCAATTCCAAATTCCTGGAGAGAACATTTGATTGGATCACCTCCTCAACTCTGAGCCAATCATCGGTGGCCTGGGCCATGGCAGGGCTCTCCCTTTCAGGATGGGATGAAGCAAGTTCTCTAAGAGGTGTAAGTGATGAACATCTCTTGTAAACACTCCTCCTGAGTTTACTCTTATCCTAACACCCAGCCTGCTGGGTGTAGATGTCGCTTTGCTCGGTTTGCTCGTCCATAGGGCAGAGATGCATATATTCGTATCTCATCCCCAGAGCCTTGCAATTACCTGGTACACTCAATATTTGTCGTAGAAGGAATATTCCAATCTCATCCTTAATTTTACAGACATTGAATGTGTCCTCAAATTTACGTAGTAGAACAGTATTAGGGGCAGCCCAAGAACACAGGTCTCCTGACTCCCAGTCTCTGGGGATGGTTTCCTAGAATGACCCAGCATGGTGTCATGTGTGTTATTATTCACCACTGGTCTCAGTTTCCCTGCCAAGGGCTCCAGAGACTCTCCCCCAAGATGTGGGCCATGCAAGCCCCAAGAGGAACTGGCTGCACCACACAGAGCCTATTTTCAACCTTAGACTTCCTGTCAACACCAGTGTCTTCCCACACTGCAAGCTGGGCCCCTTTGGAGAAATCCCATCCCGACTGGGGCCTGACCAAAGTTAGGCTCTGGACGCAGGGATGCTTAAGGAGTAATGAAGCAAAAGTGGGAAAGATGATCTCCATAGCCACCCACCTGAGCTGCTCTCAGAGGAGGAGGAGGAAAGAGCTGATGCCTCCCCATTCTGCTGTTCTACACCTCTGCCCTCATGACCTTTCCCCCTGCCTCCTCTTCCCTGGGTCCTCATGCCTCACCGTGCCTGTTCTCTCATGTTACTTGTCCCTACAGGCCTCGAACCCTCTATGGCAGTCCCGGGGCTCCACCACGGTGTCTTCGGGGGGCCGTTTCCGCTGCCCATCTTGCAGGCATGAGGTTGTCCTGGACAGACATGGTGTCTATGGCCTGCAGCGAAACCTGCTAGTGGAGAACATCATTGACATTTACAAGCAGGAGTCTTCCCGGTGAGCTGTCAGGACCTTTTGTCCCTCTAAGGAGCAGAGCCTGGGACACAGCTGGGGAGCCCATCAGTCAAAGGGGAAGGGCTGAAAAAATCAGCCTGCCTCTTTAGAGATCAGAGGATGGGACCCTGGGCAGCCCCACGCTCGTGGGACCCCCCACTTCCCTCCAGCCTGGCCCCTGACCCTTCTGCCATCCTGCCCACTCCCCTCCAGGCCACTGCACTCCAAGGCTGAGCAGCACCTCATGTGTGAGGAGCACGAAGAGGAGAAGATCAATATCTACTGCCTGAGCTGTGAGGTGCCCACCTGCTCCCTCTGTAAGGTCTTCGGCGCCCACAAGGACTGCGAGGTGGCCCCACTGCCCACCATTTACAAACGCCAGAAGGTACCAAACAGCCAAAGGAGGAGGCGTGGTGGGGCTGGGGACAGTGGACAGGGTCTCCAACTTCAGCCTCTCACTCCACTTGGCTTTAAAGGCTGGCAGATCAGGGCTACAGTCCCAGCTCTGTGCATGACTCAGTGTGACCGTAGGTAAGTCACTTGACCTCCCTGGCCCTGACTTTCCTCCCTTGTAAAATGGGGATGAGGGTGCCAAGTTCCAAAGTTGTTTTAAGGATACAATTAGATAATGGATACCAGAAACTTCAGTTTGGTGGCCTAGATGCTCTCCAGGCCCTCTCACCACCACACAACTACATTTGACATAAAACATAACTTAAAAATTATATCAGTGGGGCGCCTGGGTGGCTCAGTCAGTTGAGCGTCTGACTCTTGATTTTGGCTCCGGTTGTGATCTCAGGGCTGTGAGATCGAGTTGCGCATCAGGATCCACACTCAGCGCTGAGTCCCCTTGAGATCTTCTCCCTCTGGCCCTCCCCCTGTTCACACTCTTGCTCGCTCTCTCTCATAAATTACATAAATCTTTTTTTAAAGATTTTATGTATTTATTTGACAGAGAAAGATCACAAGTAGGCAGAGAGGCAGGCAGAGAGAGAGAGAGAGAGAGAGAGAAAGAAGCAGGCTCCCCGCCGAGTAAAGAGCCCGATGTGGGGTTTGATCCCAGGACCCTGAGATCATGATCTGAGCTGAAGGCAGCGGCTTAACCCACCGAGCCACCCAGACGCCCCTACATAAATCTTTTCTAAAAATAAAATAAAAATTATATCAAAGGGCAAAAGCTGGCAGTATTCCTGAACTAGAGAGATGAGACTATGCTTCCAGACCCCTGAGAGGTGGACAACTGACCTGAAGATTCCCACGAACCCAGTTTAAGCTGGGACCTCAGGAACGAAGGCAGTCAGCCATGCTGCCTGGCTTTTGACAAAAGTGAATGCTGAATCTGCTAAGAGGAAAACCCCCTCAATTCAGGCCCTTGGGTTTTCCTTAGATTTAGAACAACAAAATATTAATTCAAAAATGAGGGTACAGAAAGAACTATAACCCATGAGTAAAGTCGGTGGAAACAAAAAATACAGATTAAACCCCTGAGGGATTCAGATATTAGAATTATTAAAAAATTGAGAGTCCTTGTATATAAAATGTTTTCTGAAAAAGATGAAATAAAACCCCAGTGATAATAGATTACCAAACATGCAGATTTAACAAAGAACCAAATAGAGCTTTTAAAAACAAAAGTGTGGTTGTTGACATAAAACACTGAAAGGGTGAATTAAACGACAGATTTCTCTGAAGAGAGAATTAGCGAACAGGAAGAGGGGCCTGAAAAAGCAGCCTCGGATGCAGCACTGGGAACTGAGAAATATGAGCACATACATCGCCTCAGAATCACAGAATGAGAAAACAGAGAGAATAGAGAAGAGGCAATAGTATCCTAACAGATTATTACGAAGAATCTTTCCAGATTGATGGAAGGCATGAATCTACAGATGGAGCATTTAGTCCCAGGCCTGGCATTCGGTGGATATTTGGCAAATGTCTATTCCTTTCTCAATTGGTGGTGGAGGCTCTCCTCTTTCCACCCCCTTCCAGAATCCATAAATGTGCTTCCACACTTCTTGGATGGCTCCAAGCCATCTAGATCTCTGGGATGGCTGCTCTGATGGTGGGGTGGCAGGGCAGTCCTCTCCCAGGTGGCTCTGGCTGGGATGGGAGGGTACAGCTGTAGACAGCGTCCTCCAGCTCTAAGGGCTGGCCTGTGTGTGTGTGGCAGAGCGAGCTCAGTGATGGCATCGCAATGCTGGTGGCAGGCAACGACCGTGTGCAAGCAGTGATCACACAGATGGAGGAAGTGTGCCAGACCATCGAGGTGAGCTTGGGAGGGGAGGGAGGGGACATTTCTGGGTTTCTGGGCGGGGGTGAATCCCAAGTAGTGGGGTAGTTTAGCCAGGCGGCAAGGTTTGAATCCCAGCTGTGCCCCACGGCTAGCTCTGTGGCTTTGATCCACTTACTTCACTTCTCTGTGCGTTGGTGATAATGAGAATGCTATGACGACTACCTCACTGGATATTTTTGAGAGTTAAATGAGATAATACAAGTAAAAACTAGGGCCAAAGATACCCCTGAAGTCCTTTAAAATCTTGTATTTGCTAAAGAGAGAAAATCTTAAAAGTGTTCACAGGGGAAAAAAACTGTAACTGTATTTAGTGACAGATGGTAACTAGACTTGTTATCATTTCACAGTATATAAAAATATGGAATCATGACATGGCACACCTGAAACTAATATAATGTTAAAAGTCAATTATATCTCAATTTTTAAAAATCTTGTAATTGTTACTGCAAAGACCTGGGAATGCTCGGCCACTGTGTGTGGGGAACTCTCCTTCTTGGCTGTCTGGGGCGTCCCTTAAATGGGGAGTGGGACAAGTGGGTGAGTGCCCTTCCCGCTGGAGGTCTCATCCTTGCCCCCCCACCCCCTTCAGGACAACAGCCGGAGGCAGAAGCAGTTGCTCAACCAGAGGTTCGAGGCCCTGTGTTCTGTGCTGGAGGAGCGCAAGGCAGAGCTGCTGCAGGCGCTGGCCCGAGAGCAGGAGGAGAAGCTGCTGCGAGTCCGGGGCCTCATCCGCCAGTATGGAGACCACCTGGAAGCTTCCTCCAAGCTCGTGGAGTCCGCCATCCAGTCCATGGAGGAGCCGCAGATGGCACTGTACCTCCAGGTGGGCCCTGGCGGAGGGAGGCAGGCTGCAGAGCGGCTGCGGTGGGCGCCTTGGCACATGGAGGGCTGGGCTCCGGTCTCCTCTCTGGTGCCCACTTACCCCACAGCCCGGGGCAGGTCCCCCCGCCTGAGTCCGTTTTCTCCTCCACGAACCGGGATATGCATCCCCGCCTGCCCCGCAGCGCTGCGGGCACCAGAAAGGGACTTTGCCAGCGCTTGGCACGGTGCTTACGCTCACCCTCCTTTCTTCCCCGCAGCAGGCCAAGGAGCTGATCAATAAGTGAGTAGGCGGAGCGGCAATGGCAGGGAAGGGGCTGCCTGGGCTCCGCCGCCACGCGGAGGGGGGTGAGGGGACTGGGGCCGGTCCCCCTGAGCGGCTGCCGCGCCGCAGGGTCGGGGCGATGTCGAAAGTGGAGCTGGCGGGACGGCCCGAGCCAGGCTACGAGAGCATGGAGCAGTTCAGCGTGAGCGTGGAGCACGTGGCCGAAATGCTGAGGACCATCGACTTCCAGCCGGGTGAGGGCGTGAGGATGGGAGGGGGCGGCGGGCCGCGGGGACCGGGCGGCCGGAGGAGACGCCGGGGCCGGGGGTGCGTCACGGCCCGGAGCGGCAGGGACCCCACCTCACGGGGCCTTCCTTGGGGCTAGGCGCTTCCGGAGAGGACGAGGATGAGGAAGTGGCACTGGACGGGGAAGAGGGCGGCGCGGGGCCAGAAGAAGAGCGGCCGGAGGGGCCGGAAGGTGAGTGCGTCCCGAGGGGCCTGGCGGGGCTGGCCCTACGCTCCGGTTCCCCTCCTCCCCGCAACCTCCTCCGTGACGCCTTCCTGCGGCCCCAGGAGTCGCTGGTGGCCTCCTCTCTTGAAGTGCCGCCCTGCCCCGGGCAGGAGGGGCGCCCCTTAGCGCGCGTGCAGAAGTACACGCTTTCCCACCAGCCTTTCCCCTTGGGCCCTGGGAGACCCTGCTGCGTGGGGTGGTAGAGGAGAAAGCCACGTGGCTGGGGAAAAGGGGTGAGTCGGGGTGCGGAGCTGCCTTGTTCCTTTGGGGCGCCCTCCCACTGAGCTTTCTTTCCCAGGCACAGGCGGGCACTGAGCCCTAGGTCCTGGCGCTGGGGTCGCGGACAACCTGCTCAGAGACCGCTGCGCCACCCAGATAGGCGCCCCGCCGTGGGGGAGGGGCTCAATAAAGGGCTAATGCGTCCAGGCCCGCGGCTCCTTTCATTGCTCACTCTCCGCCTCAGCTTCGGAGGCGACCCCATCACCATCCTGCCCTTCTCCGGATCTGGGACCATTTGAGGGGCGGAAGTGGAATGACCCCTGTGGGGCATCCCCTTGATATCAAGCACGGGTTCGCGAGCCCAGTGCCAAGGGAAGAGGGTCGGGGTGGTGAGGCGGCACCAGGACTTTGAGTTCCTGGGGTTCGTTGGGGACGCAGGACGCCGGTTGCAAGCCGTTCTGCCAAAGCCCTCGGGCAGCATCCGGTCCCCTCCAGCCGGCCTGGGAGGCCGCACTTTTCCACGGGCTCCCACCCTGCTGTGCTTCCCCGCAGCCCACATCCGAGGCCAAAGGCTCTTCAGCACTTTTATTAAAAATTGGTGACGCACGGAGTGCTCCGGGCATCCCTGGACCGCTTTAGCCCGCGGGACTGGGTCAGTTCCAGCCGCGCACGCCCGGCCGGGGGGTGGGGAACAGGGGTCGAGGTTCTCGTGGCTGCAGACCCCGCCGATCACTTGCCCACCGACTCGAATATGATGCGGTTCTGCTCGGCGCGCTCCCGCTGGCTCTGTGTCCGCGCCAGCTCCAGCAGGGTCCGCAGCAGGTGGAAGGTGAGATCAATGGACAGCGGAGGGTCGTCCCGTCTCGGCCGCTCCCCCGCGGTCCGGGATCCCCACCGACCGGGCCCCCAGCGGCGCGGGAAGCGCTCCGCCAGCAGCAAGAGCAGCGCGCGGGCCCCGCCGTCCTGGTTTCGCGCCCCGGGGCTCCAGCGCAGACTCGGGTCCCGGACTCTGGCCGCCACCGCCTCCGGGCTCCACTGGCTGCTCCCTGGGCGCAGCTGTGCCAGGAGTAGCAGCGCCACCAGCAGCGCCGCGCGTCCCCCCTGCTTCATGGTGCCGCCGGCCCTGGACACACAGAGGCAGCTCAGGGTGAGGCGCACGCGGGGGAGTCGCAGGTGGCACCACTCCCCTTCCAGCGCGCATCCAAGCTCCCCTGCCGTGCCCCTGCGGTTGCGGGCTGGTACCCACAACCTTCCCTCCAGCCCCAGCGGCTGCCCAGCCCGGTCCTCCCTCTCTCCCCTTGGGCGAATCGCGGTGGGTGAGCTGAGCGCCAAGTTCTGGCGCTGAGGGAGTCAGGACGGATGCTCAGAGCCACTCACAGGTTGCCGGAGAGTGTCTGCGTGCTGCGGGATGGGGCTCCAGTCTCTGTCCCTCCGGTGGGCTGAGGGCACCGCGGGGAACCCGGGGTCTGTCCCGGGACTGCCGCCAGCCTTATATAGCTCCAGGACAGCTCGGACTGACGTCAGCGAGAAACATGCACTGATTGTAGAAGCAATGACGGCCGCAGCCTCAAGTCTGGCGGCTGGCTAGACCCGGAGGGGTGCACCTCACAACCCCAGACTCTGGGTCCAGGGGTCAGCACTGCAAGTGGGCCCCACCTTAAGAGAGCAAGAAGCCCCTGGGGCATAACCATTGCTCTGGGAGCCACGAGGCCTTTTACCTGCTAACAACAGCCAGCAGGGACTAGGGCCAGTCCCCAGATCAGAGCAGTCAAGTGCCTGGTCTTCTGTGGCACAAAGAGAGGCTGGACTTCATGGCTGTCAGTGGCATCCACCCTGCTGCTGGCCTCTAGAAGGGGCCAGAGGCATTGGGAGGTTGCGCTGCTCTAACCTAGTCCCTAACGCCTAGTCCCCACTATCAGTTCGGCAAACTACGGCACTCAGAAGCAGAGCCGGCTCCTGGCTCCTGCTCTGTTACCACCTCTGACCCCAGATGCAGCCCCCACTGCCAGGATGCACGTGGTCTTATTCCAGCTCCGTGGTCCAAATTCTAGGCCAGACTGATCGAGGCACCATTAGAGAGCCTCTGGCCTCCGGGTGCTTTCAGACTACAAAAGACAGGACCATCTGCTTCAGAGTTTGCCCCCAAGTGGCATTTTCGCCAAGTTCGTTTTTCTTCGGAACCACAGCAGCAGCATTACTGTACCTTTGACCTTCAGTTAAGATCACTTGGTAGGAAGTAAGGGAACTTGCCTTCATCTCTTCACACTGCTATACCAAAACTATCAACTCCATATCTTACAAACAGCAAACATTTATTTCTCACACAGTTCTAGAAGCTGGGAGGTCCAAGCCCATGGCGCTGACAGATGTGCTATCAGGAGAGAAGCAGCTGGCTAACTTTCATAGTGAGCACCTTCTCGCTATGTCCCCATACAGTGGGAGGGGTGAGAGATCTGTCTGGGCTGCTTTAAAAAGGCACGAATCCCTCATGACCTCATCACCTCCGAAGGTCCCACTTCCTAATAACATCACCATGGACATCAGGTTTTCAACAGATGAATCCTGGAAGGCACACAAACATTCATCTATAGCATGTGGATTCAAGTTTCCACTCTGCCACTGGCTGGTGGTGTGGACACGTCACCTCACTTTTGTGAGCACACCTGAGTGTGCTCCTCCATAGGAGATGATCGGGATTGGCTGTCTCTAGACTTCTTCCCAGCTCTAGAAATTCTGACTGCCCCATAGTTTCTGCTGGAGCCCTCACATCGCGTCTACAGGTTTCAGACTACATAATTACCAAACAGATCTGTGGAGGCACCATATACAGGTTCGGGGCCCCCAAAGAGCCGGAGCTCCACCTGGGCTGGGAAGGTTAGAGAGCAGATGTGTCTGTGATGAGTGGGGGCGATGGCACTGTGGGATACAGGGGTGAGTCACAGCAGACAAGACCATACGCATTTATGGGGTGCCTACCACATGGTAGGGATAAGACCATTATAAAGGTTGTAATGATTTCAAAAGAAGTCAGGTGCTAAATCCATTAAGTTCTGAGTGACCACGGAACCCCAGGAAAAGCGATGTGCCCTCTTCGAGGAGGCTGAGTGTGCTGGGGTCAAGCCACAGCACTGTCTGCACAGACATCGGGGTGAGGCTGGCCTAGAGCCGGTGGGCCTTCCACGACAGGTAGGAGTTCCAGATGACCGCGACACACTGGACAACGGCCAACCTGTGGCACAGAGGGGGGGTGGCATCGTGAGGACAATGGAGGACGAGGAGCAAGCATGGGGGGTGGGGAGAGCTGGACAAGTGCTACAGGAAAGGAGGGCTGGTCTCTGAGAACGTCTACACTGAGGTCTCCCTCCTTCAGCCCTGAGGGAGGGACGTGTGGCTCAGACCAGAGGACAAGCAGGCTGGGTTCTGGGGCTGTCCGAGCTCTGTCTCTGAGCCTCAGAGTAGAACACCGTCATCCCGCCAAGAGTGGTTCTTACTCACTCCTGTCCAGGCTCCCGAATGCTCGTCTTTGTCCGCCTTTACCAGCTGAAGAGAGTCTACTTTCCAAAACCGTCCTGCCGGCCATGAAAAGTAGCATCTCCTTCTCTTTATTCTCAATTTACCTTTTTCTAGTTGCAAAGAGTATCACAGGGACCCTAGTGTTGAGGACCTGGTCCATTAAGCTACACTATTCATGTAAATGTTGACTCCGTCGCCTCTGAAGAGTTTCATACTTTTCCCCGTTCCCGATGCCCTTTCACTGCCCAAAATTTTAATGACTCATCTTGAGCTCCACTGTAGTTTTCACTGTGGTTTCAGCAACTACCCTTATTATTAAGGCGGACTCGTGCTTTGCAGCGGCCTCAAGGGCCCACGTTCCCCCTCAGCTCTTCAGTCTCCCTTCCAGTCCAATCCAGACCGCCGCCCCCCAGGCACTGGCCCTGCAGCTCTGCCTTCGAAGGTGAGCGCTCAGGCGGGGCAGCGGGGGAGACGGGACTATGAGCAGGAGCCTTTTTGAGAAGATGAAAGAGGGTCAGTGGGCAGGTTCTGGGACAGGTTCTCGAAAGGATCAGAAGGTCTGACTAGCATGCCTGAGAGTCTGAGGAACTCTGACGGGACAGCGTTCTGCGAGGATCTCAAGTGACTCCAGGTCGAAAGGAGAATCATTTGGCATCCAGCTGTTTGTGCCCTGCGCCTTCCCTGGGGGGGGCGGGGTCAGGATGTCTTACCTGTAATGAAGGGGGACCAGGTAGAAGTTGGCTAACTGCACAGCAGGCCAGAGCTACAAGAGAAAGAAGGTAAAGGTTGGGGGGCTGCCTCCTTCACCCGACCCCCAGACTCACTGGCCTTACTCCAGCTTCTGCAGACAAGAACAAGGTGAACGGGTGTTTCCCTGAGCACAGTGCCCACACTGGGGACAAGAGTCATCCCAACTGTAGGATTTCTATGGCAGGAGGACCCCCATTCCTGGGCACTTTTGGACTCAAGAAAGCAGAAGAGACAGCTGCAGAGTCAGCGCTTACGTAGTAGTTGGTGATGAGGGCGTCAGGATAGTCCTGGGGAAACAAAAGAAACAAACTTACCCATGCACACACTTCCAAGTAGCGCCCACCTCCCAGTCTGCAGAGCACTTCCAACACAGACTACACTCCAACCGCACCACCCAGCTTGTCTTCGCCGGAGCCTGGGGCTCTGCCTGCATCCCACCAGCTCCTCCCCACGTAGCCTGCCTCATTCCCCCGGGACTGCCAGGCTGCCAGCTGGAGACCATCCCCCACCTGCCCTGCTCACCCGCCACAGCTTGGCCCAGTTGTCCTGGGCTGACAGTCCATTGAGTGCTCCTACCAGTGAGAGGAAAGAGCCTAGAAAACATGGGGCAAAGCACCCCTGGGGAGAGAAATTAAAGTTCTGTGAGCACAGAAATCCCCCCCTCCCCCCACCATGCCAGCTCCTGCTTCCCAAGTCCCTTTTCCCTCTGCTCACCTGATCCAACAGCATCTTCTTCAGCGCATCTACCTTGCTGGTGCCAGGGATGAGGCAGTCCAAGACCCTGTACCAGCCTCCAACGGCGGGGCCCTGAAAGTAAACCCCAGAGAGGACAGAGGGTGTGTGGCGAGGGGAGCACTTGGCTTTTGCATCACAATGCTCCTCTCTCAAGGATTAGAAACCAAATCCTATCTAAGGTTGGCTTAGATGCAGGGGAGGCCAAGGGAAACTGAAGAATGACATGGAACTAAGACCACCGTCCAGTCCTCCAGCAACCCCACTATAGACAGAACTTACCACGAAGCCACAGCCCAGGGAGACCATGATCAGGGTCCGGCGAGACTGGTGTCCCCGTAGACCTCGCTTCTCCACCAGTTGCTGTGAGATAATGTCACCCAGGCCCATCAGGGACCCTGCGCAGGGTACACAGGTGTTGTCAGGATACCTCCTGAAGGTAGGTTGCCATTCCAGGGACAGAAGGAAGTCCCTGAATGAGGCTCTGACACTTAGAGCCTAAGAGATTAATTCTGGGGCAAATGGCCAGTCCTTTACTGCCACTTCGAAGTGTCATGTTAGACACTGAGCTGAGCAGCCTTCATCAGGCCAGGACCCACAGACTGTGCACAAAGTCCTAAAGGGAAGTCACAGTCAGTGACTGCAGATGAAGGGGAACCTAAGGTGCTTGGCACTGAGGACCATGGACTATCAGAACTGGTAAAGCATGGCTCCGTGGGTTAAAGCCTCTGCCTTTCGCTCAGGTCATGATCCCAGGGTCCTGGGATCGAGCCCTGCATCGGGCTCTCTGCTCAGCAGGCAGCCTGCTTCCTCCTCTCTCTCTGCCTGCTTGTGATCTTTGTCTGTCAAATAAATAAATAAAATCTTAAAAAAAAAAAAAAACTGGAAAAGCCTTCCAGATAATTCCATCCAAACTCCTTATTTTTGAGGTATAGAAATGAAGGTCTGGGACCTTACATACCCAGTTAAGTGGCAGAACCAAGGCAAGAACCAAAGCAAGAACCAAGTCAAGTCAACCAAGGCTTGACTTCCTACACGGTGATTTTTCCAGGAATCATATTGTGAACAGATCCTGTGTAGAATGGTAAGGAACTCTGGGGTTTCTCCCCTAGTCCCAGGCGAGACCCTGGAAAGTGTCCTTCACCTTGGTCTTGGGGCCTCTCTTTGTGAAGGACAGCAAGAATAATTCATTTTCTAAAGCATGAGTGCTTACATGGTCTCAGGCAGGAAGACGACTGGCTGAACTGGTAAGAGTCCCCACAAGTAGGAGTCCTGGTTACCTCCTAGCACAATCAGGTAAACCCAGACATCCCCCCATTCACAACCTCAGACTGGGGGGACAATAGATATTATAGCCATTCCCCCCAAACCCCAGGCCTTTGTACCTGCTTCCCCTTCCCTCATTCATACAGACACCCCTTTCCCAAGCAACCCTAGTCAGACGCCCACACCCAGAAACCAAGATAGAAACTGTCACTATTTACAGAGCCCCCGTCAGTTATGGTGGCATGATGGTTTCCAGCAAACACACACACGCAGGGTCACTTGGGAGTGACCAGATAATCTCCGGCTCTCCTGTCCGTATCACTGAGTAATGAGAGCCCCCCTCCAGCCCCTCAGCCACCACAGTCCCTGTGCCCTCAATCAGAGCTGGGCAAACACATCCTTTAACCCTAGTCCTTGGTACAGAGCAGGCTCTGACGTCCACACTGGCTGTGCACTCACAGCTCTTCCCCTGCAGCCACTGCAAAGCCCTGCCCCAGAGCTGCAGCTGCTGCCCAGGCAGCTGGGGGAGGCTGAGGGCTGGCACCACGACCCCCACGACCCCCACGGCTGGCCTCAGCTGCTGGCACTCCCAACCCTGGAGCAGCTCTGGGGCCCCAGCGCACCCATCACGGTGGTCCTGTCTCTCCTCTCCCTGAAACTCTCAAAGTGCTGGAGGCTCTTCCCAGAACATGCTAGCCATGACCTCCCAAAGGGCGAAGAGAGAATCCTAGACATCTTTGTTCTCTTATCCTCCACCACACCTAACCAAGGGCCTGGCAGGTGCTCAGAAAACCAACCAAGGGAAAACGCCAATGTATAGTCCCAAACAGGCCCGCTCCGGGAAGGGCACGAGGAGCCCCCAGGCCTATGTGTGAGGACCTGTGAAAGCAGAGGCTTGTTCCCAGCTCCACACCGTTAGCACTCATCTCCCTTTCCCCTGCCTCACCTCCCCTAGGGAGGGCTTGCTGCTGTGGCCATGCATCAAAAGCAAGGGTACCCGGAGAAAGCCCGCGGGGGGCAGAACAGAGGGCAGTCACTTCTTAAATGAAGGGACCTAACAGCTTGATGTTCTACTGGCAAAAAGTTTACAGTTTACAGATGGATCTCACGCACTTAATCCTCACGAAAGGCCTGGGAGGTGGGGTCACACCTCCATTTAACGTCTTTAAGAGATGAGGTTATTTAGTAAGGAGTAGAGTTGGGGCTGAACCCAGGCCTTCTCTCAAGGAACAGGAGGCTAGGGAATCACGGCAGGGGCAGAGACGTGGGCTCATGGGTCAGTGGCGCCAGGAGGCCTCTGTGCCTTCCACTCCCAGGGGCCTCCTTGCCCAAGCAAGGCCCCAAAGGCCACACATCAAAGACATTTCTTAGACTAATGCACTTCCTGTCTTTCACTGTCCAGGAGGTGACCCTCTCTGTTCCTTGTCACCTTGTAGGGACGGCAACAGTCACCCAACTTGCCAACAGTCACCCAACAAGCTAAAGGCAGAGCAGGAATGAAAACCACAGTCCAGGGAGCCAGCAGCCTTGGAAAAAGATGGATTCCAGGATCCAGACCATGCCCCCCGTCAGGTGGAAAGGCAGCAGTGAGAGGGAAGAGTCCCTGCCAGCCCTGTCCATTTCAGACAAAACCGTGCCCAGCCATTCCTCCTCTGCCCACAGGCCATCAGGGCGCTGGGCCTGCAGCAACCCCGGGGCCGTTGAAGGCTTTGGTCAGTGCCCAGTGCAGGCCCGCATTTCCACCCAAGCAAGCTTGGGCAAGAAGAGCTGACATTCAGATTCCTCCTTCCACCATCCCCAGCGCCAGAGCCCAAACAGGCCCCAGCTGGGTTCTGGGAGTCCTCCTGAAATATTTGGTTGGTCTAGATCTTTCAGTGCTCTGGCTCCCCTTGCCTTGGACTTGTTTCTAGGGGCTGGGAGCCGGAGACCTGCAAAGACGTATTGCCCGAGCCCTGATGGGGCAGGGCGAGGGGCTGCGGGCACTGATGCCCGATGCCAGGCCGGGCGAGGAGCCCAGCAGGCAGACACTGGCGCAGGTGTGACATCATGCCCTTGGGTAGGTGCCAGTTCTCATGCCGTCACTCCCCGCTGGATTCAGTGGAGTGAGGGGGTGGGGAGCAGGCTGCCTCTGGCCACAGATCTATTTGGGACCACCCCCTGCCCGCTAGTTGAAAAGCCCCAACTTCCACACCGTCTTCCTAGTTCCCAACTTCCCCTATTATGTTCCTCTCGTGGCTTTTGTGTATGGGGTCTTAGTTGCAAGAAAATAAAGTGCTAATGGAAGATGAGAAGGTTGAGGGGCAGAAAGGTGGAATGGGGAGCAGGAAGCATGCCCTTGAGGATCAGAGGCCTGGGCGACAGGTAGAGCTACTGGAATGGGGCCAGCAGTGCTGCCAACTCTCTCCTCCCCAGAAGTCTCCACAATTAAAGGGCTGCTTGGGCTGGGGGCCAGCTCTGATAGACCCCAGAGGCAACAGAGCAATGAGAGAGGGGGGACCGCGTTCTGGGGGACTGGTCTGAATGCTCTCCCCATTCCCGGCCCGAAGCTGTCCTACTGCTAAAAAATGGGACAAAATGGAGGGCTCTGCAGCTTCTCAGGTATGTAAACCAGACCAGTGGGGGCTACGCTCAGCTTTCCGGGGCCCCGTAGTCTCGAGTACAGGGCAGATCACTGGGAAGTGTGCTCCATTCTAAGGCCAGCTCTACCACTGACCACGGGGACCCCAGTGCACATCACCCCTGCCCCTGCTGCAGCCTCCTGCTCTACGGTGTCAGGGCAGGACTGGACGCTCCCGTGCCTGCTGAGCGCGCACGCCTGGCAGAATTCAGACTCCAGGGAAACCAGTGCCTGCAGCAGCTCAGCTGCCCCATAGCAGGACTAGAGTGGCCAAAAATGGATGGAGCTGGGCCCGGGGCCCAGTGGAGACTGGAAGGGCCCTTCAGAAAGGACGGGAAGAGGCTGGCTCAGGCTGTGTGGAACACACAGTGGACCTTTTCCCAGCATGCTCTGTTCCTGACTTTAGCTTGGTCAACACTACCCATGATCAGACACTTCTCTTGAATCATTTCAGATCCTGATTCACTTATCCCTGACTCCGCCCACTACCACAGCTCAACCTGGGTCATACCCAGGGCTGTGCAGTGGATGCCTCACCTGGGGGCTGCACACAGGTATCAACATTCCACGTGTTTGACAAATGGAGGAGGAGAGCTGGTGGGTAAAGGTTTCTTTTCTCCAGAAAAGGCTATTCTCCCCTATAGTCCTCAGAGGCATTTCAAAGAGTTTCTCAGTCAGCTTTAAGGGATGGAGCAGCCACGGGCCCTAAGCAGTATGCAATCTGATCTTCCTCATATTGGCTCGCCCTCCTCCCCCACGGGACGACTTCCTACTCCCTCACAAAGTACCTGCACCAAAGCCCCAGGCCCTGCTACTTGGAGAACCAAGGCTGTGACTACCCATGTTCAAATTTAAGGCAAATGGAACAAACACAGCCGAAATACCACTAGAAAAAGAACCACTTGGGGTGTCTGGGGGGGGTGCAGTTGGTTAAGCATCCTACTCTTTTTTTTTTTTAATTTATTTGACAGAGAGAGAGATCACAAGTAGGCAGACAGGCAGGCAGAGAGAGAGGGAGAGAGGAAAGCAGACTCCCCACTGAGCAGGGAGTCCCATGCGGGGCTTGATCCCAGGATCCTGGGATCATGACCCAAGCCGAGGGCAGAGGCTTTAACCCACTGATCCACCCAGGCGCCCCAAGCGTCCTACTCTTGATTTCGCCTCTGGTCATGATCTCAGGGTCGTGAGATTGAGCCCTGCATCACACTCTGCTCTGAGCATGCAGTCTCCTCGAGAGTCTCTCTCCTCCTCCCTCTGCCCCTCCTGCTTGTGAACGCGCGCTCTCTCTCTCTCAAAAATAAATAGATCAGTCTGGAAAAAAAAAAAAAAAAGAACAGCTTGCCGTGTGTGGGTTAACAATACTCATGGAAAGGGCCAAGCCCAGGAGCCTTTGTGTCTATTAAGCATTTCTTAATTTCTAAAGTCTTTGCACAGATATAACCCTGACACTAACTCTGTGAGGTCAGCTAACTAAACTCAATTCCTGAATGAGGAAACTGAGGCTCCAAGAGGTTTACTCACTTACTTGTCTCTCTTCAGGCACCTACTGAGGGCTACGACTCTTAATTTCAAATCCTGCTCTTCTAACTCCAAGTCTGAAATCCCTATTTTGTCTTCCAGTGTGAGAAGCTACCCAAGGGGGCCTTACGAAGCACTGCGCTAGGATCTAAGATCAGCCTGAGGATCTAAACCCACCTCCTCCCTTTATTTGCAGTTTGATCCAAATACACTAGCAGCAGGGAAGAAGTCTGAGAAAAGTGCTTCCTAGAAAGTGCTTCTAGACCAGCACCCCAGCATAGCCCATGTATCTGTGCGAGGGCCCCTCTGAAGGCCAGCTCCTGTGTCCACTGCACACCCCTTGGGTAGAGAAACACAAGGACTAGCTCTCCCTCTCTATTCTTGATGCCACAAGGGGGAAACTTCCGTCCAGCAGTAAAGGGCCCCGAGGGAGTCTGAGGCTGGCAAAGGGCCCAGCGTGTCAGTCCCCATCTCAGCCACACAGTCCAGAATGAGTCACCACACACGCAACCAGGTGAGTCATGCAGGCTGACGGACACTCTGAGGACATGGGGTGGTTGGGCACAGAGGTTGGAGAGGGGCCCAGGGAGGGGCAAAATTGTCCATCCCTTGGCCAGTCATCCAATGAAGTTTCTAGGGCTGAGGTGGGGTTGTTCCAGTAAGAGGCTTGCTGTTCCTCTGGCTTCCATAGCCTGCCACTCAACAGTCTTCCTCTAAGAAGCCCATGGTCCTCCCTAGAATCCTCTTCCCTTCCTCTAAACATAGGCAAGATCCCATCTTAACCCGATCACTCTTGCACTGCCCCAACAATCTCAGAACTTCTAGTCCTCCCCCCTGTAAAACTTACCGTATCTCTGTGCCATCCCCTCACTTCTTAGCCAATGCGCAAAGTAAAGATGGTAACAAATACAGGTTAAGTCACTGGGTTAACTTTGTAAGGCATTAGCCACTCACTGGATTTGGAGTAAACATAAATCCTTGATTAGTATATTGTTTGGGGGTACATAAAAGGGTAGTAAAACTATAAGAAAAGCAAAAGAGTGGTATAAACAAAACTCAGGAAACCAGTTATTTCTTGGTTTGTATGAATTAAGGATAGGTGCTCAAGGGTTCTCAAGCTGGGTGCTGATACAAGAATAATCAGTTTTAATACTATTTAAACCTTACATACATGTCTTAACCATTCTTTTCTATGTTAAGATATTATTTCATGATAAAAAAAAAACAACTAAGAAAAATAAACTGGGGTAAGAGTCCTGATCCCAGCACTTAATAGGTGTGTAATCTAATGTGGACTCAAGGGATCCTAGCTCACAGATCTTTGTGCAGAGCTATGAGATAATGTGTTGAAAGTGTTTTGCACACTGTTAATATGTTAGACGAGCATTTGCTATTGTTAGCTTTCTAAGTTAAGGTCTCCTGGGGCAATGCCTTTAACCCCAAGGGATGACTCCTCAGCTTTCTGAGGACTTTCAAATCCTACTTTACAGCAGGTATAACCCTTCCTTAAGAACAGCCTTGGGGGCCCACCCACCAAAAGACTGGGGACAGCTTCGGATGAGAGACAGACAACCTTTCAAGGGGGCTCAATAGAAGCAGAAAATGAGGAAGGTGTGGTGGGGTGAGCTTCTGCCTCCCAAATCAGGCTGCTCTGGTCCCGCTCAGGTCTACTCACTCACCAGCTGTCAGGACCTGTACTTTCCACGGGTGATTGGCCAGGGCTCGCTGGTATGCCCGCCAGAGTGCCATGATTCCTGTCAAGCCAAGAGGAGAGGGGGGGTCACCCCCCGCCCCTCCCCACAATTAAAGACACCGTTGACTTTTCCCTGTCGCCACTCCCTCTCCTCGGCCCTCTTCCAATACGTCTTAGAGGGGCAGAGGCCTCAGGAGGGATGCTTCCTGGACAGCTTCCTGTCACAGGCATCGCCTTAGACAATCAGGTCACAGAGGAAGGCTGTAGGCGGCTGCGGAATCTCGGTGGCAGCCACCCGCCACCCCATCTCTGAAGCAGAGCCACCTGGAGGCCTCCTCCTTCCACACCGAGACACTTCATAATGGCAGGTTTGTTCTGGCTTTCACCCAGAGTCTGGTCGGTCGCCAGATTCACTTAGTTGGAACCAGCCCGTATCCTTCCTGAGTCCAACTCTACACCGTAAATAGGGCCTGTCATTCTCTGGGCCTGGACAGGTCACATGGGCTTTGAGCACTAAAGGCACGCGACGATTTGAGCCCTGAAAGGAGGATCTCCCGGCACTCACCTGCCCTCGCCTCCAGCCCCTCCCACGTGACCCGACCGGGAAGGACTTCCGCCTCAAGTCCCGCCCCTTCCGTCCGGCTTCCCCCGGAACTTCCCCCCCCCAACCCCGCCGCAGCCGGGGTTGGAGTGGGCGTGGACTGAGCGTAATACTCATGGGGAACCGCTCAGCTCTCGGTCTGTGAGCAACCCCTTTTTGAAGTGGACCGCGCGGGGTCTCTGTGAGGGTCCCGCCTTCCATAGTTCCCACTTGGGTCCGACCTCTGCCTCCTCATGCCCCTTCTCCCCCGTAGCCCTGGTTTCTTAACCTGGATAGACCCTCACTGCTACCGCACCCCGGAACTGGCCAAGGTGCTGATGCCCTTCTGTCTCGAAAATCAATTTAGAAACCATGAGCCGTAGTTGGGTGCGTTATTTTTTCAGTGTCCCTGGGTTCTTCACTAGCCTTGACTGTGAGCTCCTGCATGGGTAAAATTTGTCATCCTCTTAGCACTAGTTTAGTCTTTGTCCACAATGGCCTTTAGAGATGCTACGTAAAGAGGACCCCTCCGTGGAAAGCACGGGATTCCAGAAACTCAGAGTCCGCGTACTGGCTTTGTAACTAGTGGGCTCTGCAGCCTGGTCATCATTACACTTGAACTTAAGGTTCCTCACCTGTTAGACTATGTTTATCACACTGGGCTCCTCAGTGTTAGGGGTTTACAAGATGTTTTGGGGAGATAACACTCACTACAGGTTCTTCTTTACCTCAGCTTAAAAAATTATTTTAGAAAGAGCCACTTTTAAACAAAGGGGTTCACAACTAAAAGTGTTTGGAAATCTCTAGATTATGTGATTTCTTAATATTCCTTTTCAGCTTTAACATTCTAAAATTTTGTGAATATAGTGCAACATCCTTTCAAGGGTAGCGGAAACTACTGTAAGATCCCTGGCAGATTTGTCAGGCTGGAAGCCTTTGCTTAACTATATCCAGGAACCCACACTTCAGGAAGCAGCCATCCCTGACTTTCAGGTTCCCACCTGGCTAGCTCTAGCTCCTATTTACTCAATGCCTATGTGATTAAGACAGGGAAAATCCTGTCACAGGTACTTGAGAAACACAATGAGAAAGCAAGATAATTTGATGTCACAAATACTTCACTCAAGGCTCCTATATTCAAAACACCATGCCAGGAGTGAATTTACATTAGTAAATGTAATAGACCAAAATGTGGTAGGTTAGAAAGTTGTTCTCTGAAGTCAGACTGTCTACGTTCAAATCCCAGCACCACTACGTAGTAAAAGTGATCTTTTTCAGACTGCTCAAACTCTCAGAATCTTATCTTTACAGTTAAAATGGGGCAGTATCTACCTCATATGATTAAGTAACATATGCAAAATACCTGAAATAGATCAAATGTTTAAATAAACACGTGATTTACTCTTTTTTCCCCTTCCCTCTTGAGAATACATGGGGGGAGAGAGAACTTTTACTAGAGATATTTGGGAAGCTCCTTGATAAAGGTTGAGATTTGAGCTGGGATCTTGAAGAATGAATGGGGTTTATGTGGAGATGATGGAGGAACCATGTGAGCAAAGGCACAGGAAGTAAAATACAGGATCCATAGATTATAGTATAAAGTGTATATATTGGGAGGGAAGGTTGAAGTAGAATGGCCTTCAGAGAAAAGAGTTTACGGTAGAGAAAGAGAGCAAGGGCTGAAAGCATTCTCCTGATATTCTTTTGGAGTTAGAGACCAAGACTAAGAGTCAGCAGCAGAAGCAGGGCTGCTGGCACCAACCTGCAGCCTCAACAGTATGGGTCCCCAGGTCCCATCTTTTCTGCCACTGAAAGTGGAATTCCATAATGCAATGTCAAGGGGCTGCCGTGGAGAAGGAGCAAAGCTTCTCTGCAATGAAGGCACTTCCCTATCAGTCAGCTCAAAAACAAACCCGGCTTAACCTGAGCTTGATTACAGTACTTGCCTCCTTTGCACTGACAGGGGTTGTGATCCCTCTGCCGCTAATAGTCTGGTTGCCTCCGGGTTGTTTCCTCTTCTGTACAGGAAGGAAACTGAACTGCTTGATACCTTTCTTCTTAAGATACGATAAATTTCCTACACCCAAGAGGCAGAAAGCTGTTCCCAGATATCTGGCCAACCAGACCACAGTGCCAGTGGGTTTTGTTCCAGGTAGGCACTAAATTAATCTCCACTTCCTTGGTTGGAGCTGGCTGCATATTTTTCTCGCTTTCCTGAGGTCATCTCACTACTTCCCCCAAACTTGACTGTACTCCCATACACTATGGTTTGCCTGTTTCTCATTGCTGGGGTCTGTCTTTGGTTCAGAGACAGTATTACAGTCCCTATGAGTCTGCAGTATCCCCCAAGAGAACTAATAAGAGGAGATAAAACAATACATTACTTGGGTTTTAAACACCTCCTATATAGAGATTTGAAATAAAGTAGCTAGACATGTTTAATAAGCCAACAGTGTGACAGTATCATAAAGGACCAAAAATCATGACGTGTAAAGAATGGTTAAAGTAACTGAAGATATTTAATCTAGAGAAGAAAAGACTTGGGAAACACATGATAGCTATTTTTAAATATACGTAAAAGGGCAATCACAGGGGAAAATGACTAGATTTCCTAATACCCATGGTGAAATTATATAGAAGTATACTCTTTGACTTGATATAAAGGAAGGTTTTTTAAAACATGACTGCCTAGGAGTGTTCAAGTAGGGTCAGATGACCAGTGATTGGGAATATCTCATAAGCAGGAGCAAGTAAGATCTGAGCCACTGTTCTACTGGCAGGGTGTTTGTGGTGTTCCTCAGTTAAAGAAGTACTATAAGCAGCTTCGGTCCAATAAATTACTGTCACCCCTCCTGGGCCTGTGTGTTGGTTACTCTCAAGAGGAAGTTGAGAAGGCAGCAATACTGGATCCTAGAATACAGTCACACAGGAGCCTTCATGCGGATACCCTTTGCAGTTCTCCAAACACCCACTCGTGCGTGGTCTCAAAAACACCCAGTACCTTTACTTAGCTTTACCCACTTCACAACATGCTCAATATGAGCAATTTGACTTCCAAGCCTAGGTCAGGCCTGAGTATTACTCATGAGCCATAGTTTTAGGCTGAGGAGCCTTGAGAATTTGTGGAGGGATAGCCCCCCTGCCCGCAGGGGGCTGTGATGACAGAAGTCTGTGGAAGGAGAGGTATCTAAGGAGTCCTGGCAAGGCAGGTCTAAAGGTCCAGGTCTGGCAGCATCACTATCCATGAAGCCCCCAGTTCCTATGGCTCTGTGCATGGGGGGCGGGGGGCATTTGTTCCTGGCAGACTTCATTCCAAAGGCCCTGTGTGGACCATGACTAGGGACCGGGCAGAAGGCGATGGCTGGTTGGAGGGAAGCCAGGCCCTTTAATCGGGGAGGACGGCTGGAACATAGCACTGAAGTGGGCTCGACTTTCAAGTTGCATACGGTGGCCCAGTGGTGAGGTGAGTCCACGGACAAAATGGATCCGAACCAGCCCGGACTGTCCCCCAGATACCAGCCATCCATAGGAGTCCAGGTTTGGGCTGAAGCGGACCTGGGAAGAGAAGAGAAAACAAGAGAGATGTTCGCAACTGGTGCTTTAGGGTGAGTCCTAGCTGTAAAGGGAGCGGGGCGGGGGGTGGAGGGATGGGGTGACAATCTGAAAGGACAGGACCATGATGGAGTGAGAGAGGTAAGAAGGAGTTGGTCTATCACACTCTGGAAGATGAGGTTGCCAGAGCTGTCTTCCTTCCTTCCCTCTGCACCTTTTCATCCCCCATGTCCTTGATCGTTAGGTCCAGAGTTGGGAGGAAATGAGTGTGAAGATGGGTGAATATAAGAGACAAGGTTTTTACCTTGTGAATTGCCTCCAGCTGCAGCCTGTCCAGGCAGAGCTGCGAATGCCCCTCTCCTTCCTGCATGCGCAGCATTGGCTCCCTGTGGAGCAGATCGTGGAAGGAACCCTGGGGAAGAGAAAGCCAGCAGCTTCTTAGTCTTGCACCTTTGCACTGTGGCTCCTTACAATGCCCTCCTGTACCAGGGCTAAAGTTTTCTACTTTTAAAAAAAAAATGCCACACCCATTCTCCTGGCCTCAATTTACCAAATCTGTATCTTGAAAGAGCAAGTAGTGATGGTTGACAGTTTCAGCGTAAGTTCGAGCTTTGGGTGGGTTGGGGGCCTCAGATGAAGCAGAAGAATGGTCTCGACCTTCACGGCTGTCCTGATATGGCATCAGATCTGCTTTATATATAGGCTAGAAAGGAGACCATGAGATTAGGTCCTAGAATACTGGAGACAGAATAAAAGAGACAATTGATGGGGCGCCTGGGTGGCTCAGTCGGTTAAGCGTCCGACTCTTGATCTCAGCTCAGGTCTTGATCTCAGGGTCGTGAGTTCAAGCCCTGCGTTGGGCTCCACGCTGGGCGTGGAGCCTACTTAAAAAAAAGAGAGAGAGAGAGAAAATTGGTTTTGGGAAGGAAAGACTTAAAGATGGAAGAAAGCAGTATGTTTAAACACATGCACAGATGCACTGGGGTTGGGAAGATTTTGTACAACTTTGTACTAAGACTTCCCGGGACAGTAACAGGTCTGGGAGACCTCATCCATATTTGTATCTTACTACTTTACAGTTCTAATTTAGGAGGTCATGTGGATTAGGACCCAACAGATGGTGCTACCATTAAATAGTCATATACGTACGAATCTTCGCTCTACAGGTCGCTTGACATTTATTGGGTTCAGGGCCATATCAGGCAATATGGCCGCAATGAGCTCCCCGGATATATCTCCTGCGGCTATTGTCCCAAGCCAGTCGGATCCTGAAAGACTCTAGTAAGAGACAGATTTCTTTCATTCATTCATGCACTCGTATTGTTTCAGTTCTGTGAACTGGAAACAACAGCACAGTCTGAAGCAGAAGACACACCCACAGAAGCAAAAATGAGTTTATCAGGTGAGGGGCTGGGGTAACTGGGTGAAGAACATTAAGGAGGGCACATAATGTAATGAGCACTGGGTGTTCTATAAGACTGATGAGTCACTGACCTCTACCTCTGAAACTAATAATACACTATATGCTAATTAACTGAACTTAAACTTCTTAAAAAAGTTTATCATAACTTTTATCTCTCATGATACAGTTACCATACATCTGTCTTCTTCTATCCAAAACTACTGCCTCTTCCTGATCTCCAGTAGCTGAGTAAAGGAATCGTTTTCCTGTGAAAATGAAGAGAAGGGCTCACCCAGACAGTGCCTTTTCGAGGAGCAGTGAAATAGGCCTTGAAACCAAGGTAACCAGCATCAATATAATGAATCCCACAGAGTCCATAACTGTAAGAGGAAGACAAAATAAAACTTTCCTTTTTCCAAGATTGCATTCATTTCCCTTCCCTAATTCCTTCTAGAATTTAGATTACCTCAGTGAAACAACTCTCAACCCTCCTCTCCCCACAACAATCTGGCACACTTTGCACCCAACCCTTAGGGCCTGTCCCTAGAGCTCCTCCTATCTGCATCCTGCCGTACGAGGCATAGCAGTTGTCCTGAGCCACAGTGACACCATTGTAGGGGAGCAGCCAGGCCAGCTCTGTACTCAAGAAGCGCTTGATAGAGTTTATGGGTTCATAAGGTCGTCGAAGGTCCCAGAATTTGATTTTGCGGTCACTCCCCGCAGAGACAAGGAAATGACTGTGGAAAGAGGGGAGAAGAGAGAGAAGATAAAATCGGAGCAAGTCTGGGAGCACCAGCCTTCCCAGGCTTCACCTCCCGCCCCACAGCTCTCCTGTCCTGTACCTGTTAGCTTTGCACCACTGAAGGGTACGCACAGCCTGGTCATGGGCTAGGAAACACTGGAAGGGGTAGAGCTTCAAGGAGCCATCAGAGAGCCGTATCCGCTGCAGGGGTGAGTTAGTGGGAAGGTTCCAGAAAACCACCATGCCTGAGATAGGGAAAGAAGGTGTAGGTATTAAAGGCAAGTTCTGTCTTCTTTTGCTCTAATGTCTTTGTCTGGGCTCCTAGGACCTCTGCCTTTTACCCTCAGATGTGACCCCCTTATGAAAGGATATAGGGATCGTGATTAGCCAGCCAACATTCCCTCTGTGATATTTTAGCTCTGACTCTCATCAACAAAAAATAGCTCAGTCTAGGGCTTGTGGTTGAAAGACAGACTAAGTACACCCAAGAGCCTCTATTCTCTACTAAATACAAATGGGTTTTTTAAAAAAGCATAAACCCTCTAGGACAAAGGTTGACGAGCTACAGCCCTTGGGCCAAATACAGCGTGCAGCCGGATTTGGTAAATCAAGTCTGACTGGGAAAAGTCACACCCATTCGTTTACCTAATGTATGGCTGCCTTCATTTCTCAATGGCAGAGTTGAGTAGTTCCAACCATGGTCAAACAGCCCACAAGCCATAAAATATTCACTATCTGGACCTTTAGAGAAACGTCTGCCAACTCTGCTCTAAGACAAAGAGAACAGGCAAGGAGCCAAAAGCAACAAGATGTAGAGAAACAGGGCTGCCTCGGTGGCTCGGTGGGTTAAAGCCTCTGCCTTCGGCTCAGGTCATGGTCCCGGGGTCCTGGGATCGAGCCCCACATCGGGCTCTCTGTGCGGTGGGGAGCCTGCTTCCCACCGCCTCTCTGCCTGCCTCTCTGCCTGTCTCTCTGCCTGCTTGTGATCTCGGTCTGTCAAATAAACAAAATAAAAAAATAAAAGATAAAAAAAGATGTACAGAAGCAGAAAACAAATGAACAAACAGAAATTAACTCTGCCGACCCCAAACAAGCTGCCCCCTGACAAAGGCTGGCAGAAGAGGAGGGAGTCAACGGCGTAACTCCAATAAAAGACAAATTAAAGAACAGTAAGAATTTTTTTAAAGATTTTATTTATTTATTTGAGAGAGAGAGAGAGAGAGCGAGAGCATGAGTTGGGGGGAGAGGGAGAAGCAGACTCCTTGCTGAGCAGGGAGCCCTACATGGGGCTCGATCCCAGGACCCTGAGATCATGACCTAGGCCAAAGGCAAATGCTTAACCAACTGAGCCACCCAGGCGCCCCAAGAGTAAGAATTTAATAAACAATAGCTGGGGAAACTATTTGTAGCTAAAAACTCAGGAATGCAGCACCCATGAACCTTTCTTGGAAAAGCTTATTGGCGACGAACTCCAGCTGATCCGGATCAGTCATGGAGCAACAAGGGCAGACCGGGAGGGGCGGACTGGTGGACGTGCATGATCATTTTAAGGCAGAACTGTAACTCAGGGAATTAAGACAACAAAACAACATCAAGAATGATGTACCCTGATGACGTAAGAATCACCACACCAAAAGAAGCACACGTAAAAGACAGAGAGGGACCATTAGAAGCATGAGAGTGCTCATTTCCTAACCTCCTGAGGCGAGACTACTGATGAGGTCTAACCGTGAAATTGTCACCTGTGGAGTCCAACTACCAGAATGCTCTTTATCTATGATCCTTTCTCTCCCCGTTTAAGCCTTAAGAGTATCTTTAAGGAACTAACGTATCTGTGGTGAAGGAACATTTATGGAGAGTGTACCCCATCTCTCAGTTTCAACTCAGTCTTTTTCTTTAAAAAAATTAAAGTGTAATTAAATTTCATGTATTTTCATTTAAAATAGCTTATGTAGGGGCGCCTGGCTGGCTCAGTCGGTGAGGCATACGACTCTTAACTGCAGGGTTGAGAGTTGAAGCCCCACGTTGGCTGTGATTATGTAAAAATAAAATCTTTAATATAGCTTATATAGTATGATCCCATCACTACAGAATTCTCTCTCATGCCATCTGATTTTTTATCTTACACATGCATAGAGAACTCCATGAAATGATGTTCATTTTTTTTTTTTTTTTAAGATTTTATTTAAGAGAGAGCGCAAGTGAGCGAGAGCATGAGCTGGGAGTGGGGGGCAGAGGGAGAGGAAGAAGCAGACTCCCCACTGAGCGGGGAGCCCGACGCGGGGCTTGATCCCAGGACCTCCAGATCATGACTGAGCCAAAGGCAGACGCTTAATTGACTGAGCCACCCACGTGCCCCTGTTCATTTGTTCTTTTTTTTTTTTTAAAGACTTTATTTATTTGATAGAGACAGCGAGAGAGGGAACACAAGCAGGGGGAGTGGGAGAGGGAGAAGCAGGCTTCCTGCTGAGCAGGGAGCCTGATGCGGGGCTCGATCCCAAGACCCTGGGATCATGACCTGAGCTGAAGGCAGACGCCCAACGACTGAGCCACCCAGGCGCCCCTGTTCATTTTTCTTAATTATGTTTTTCCGGGTAGAAAAATTCTAGTGATTTTTTTCTTTCTTCTTTGTATTTTTTTACATTGCTTAAACATAATGTCCAGCATTGAACCAAAAAGGAAACCGCCACCAAAAAACAAGCATATATAAAGTTTAAAGAGCAATAGCCCCTTATGCTCTGTTTTGTTTTTTTTTACCATTGTAGTAGCCAGCAGCCAGGTGGTGGTGGGGCCGGGTGGGCATCCAGGCCAGGCTAAGGCACTGACCGCACTCAGAGGGGTCCGAAGCTTGCATAGACCCCACCTGGAGGGTTGCCACACATTGTACCTACAAGGACAGAAGAGCCGGAACCAGACTTAGGGATACTTACCACTTGCAACAAAGTCTCAAATCAGTGTTTAATCCCGACGGGGGTAGAGGCAGAAGGAGACTCACTGTGGAACCAGAAAGGGAGGCTCAAGAAGATGGAGCCTTGGCTAAGGTAGCAGGTTCCTCACTCACCTTATAGATGGCGGGCTTCATTGCATCTGCGAGGGAAGAAGAGCGGTAACTGATGCTCTGGGAACAGAGGACTGACGTCCTTACCTGCCTTGCTCTGAGATCAGCACCCCTGATCTGAGAATGACCTTCCCTGACCGCCACCTCTGCAGCACACTGATCCATCTACCTCTACCTGCCCCCATCTTCCTTCCCCCCTCTGTTGTGCGTGTGTATGTCCTTCCCCCATCAGAATAGCTAATTGCTCCACTCTGCTCTGTCCCCACCCTCTCTCACCTCTTCCAGAACTTTGCTCATTTGGTTATCTTTCCTTCCTCCCATTCTGAATGATTCACTTTCTCTCTCCCTACTGGGTCATTCTCATATTCAGATGTAAACATGCACTATAGTCTTCCAATTGAATGAAACAAACACACAAACCAAACCCCTCCTTTACCCCTGATTCACCTCAAGCACGGCCCTCAACTATGAGTTCTTCACGGCCAATCTACTTGCAAGAATTGTCCACGCACTGTCTTCACTTCCTCACCGCCTATTCCTTCCTCAGCCCGTTCCCCCACCAGACCACCAAATATGGGATTTCTCAGGGCTCAAGCCTGGTGCCCTCTTCGCTAAATACTCAGTACAGTTGAAAGGCAAATTTGACAAAGAGGAGGTGCCTTTTGCTAACCCCTTCCTCTTCCAACTCATCTTCAGCTCTACATTCTCTCCCTCTGTTCCCAACAAAGAGACTGGTGCTCATGTGTGCGAGGCAGTGAGGACAGGAGAGGTCAAGCACAGGATTTGGGGAAGGGGAAGAGTGTGGCAGGGGAGATCAGCCTTAGCAGCTCTTTACACAGCCAATCAGCTGTGGCAGCAAGAGGGGAGCCTGAGAGCACAGAGTAGGGAAACGGGGGGAAAAGGGGAATGGGCTGGAAGAGCCCAGTGATTAGAAGGCAGGAGACAGTACCCCTTGCAGGTTGCTAGAGAGAGCAAGGCTGAGGACAAGATGTGTGAAGTCAGAGTGGGTGGGGTGCTAAGTGAGGCTGTGTCCAGAGGTTAGGCCGGGAGGACCTTTAAGAGAGACCAGACAGGGCCTGCTCCAGCACCACGACCCCCTGCCTGCTGTGCTACTCACCTGGGGGCTGCTGAGCCAGCAGGGCTTCTGGATGGGGCAGACTGAACAGCAGCACCTTCCCATCGGAGCAGGCAAGAGCCAAGAGGCCCAACCTGGGCAGGAGAGGAGCCTAGAGGGGGAGACCAGATCTGTGCTAAGGCTTGCCGCCATCAGGGCCTCTTAGAAAACTTTTGAGGTTTTGGTCCCTGCAAATAACATGGATTTTCTGGGAAAACTCCATCCTCCACTGTCAACTCTGGGAACTCATAGGGCCTCTCTGTTCTGCCTGTGAGTCCTAGGGTACCCTGCAACCAACAGGGACGTACCTTCCGAGGGGTGCCTGGAAGTTCCCATGCTCCACTGGGGCAGAACTTGAGGTCCCAGATGCAGCCATGGTCACAAGCAATCCCATAGACAAAGTGAGCCCTGTTGCCAGGACTGAGGAGAGAAAGCAATGACAGAGAATGGGCAGGGAGAAGGGGCCTAGGGCCACCAGAGCCTGTGTTCCACCCCATCTCAACTCAATCCAGGCCCCCAGGCTCCCATGCCTAGCCCCAATCCAGGCCTCCCGACTCCTCCCCAGCTCTCCTGGTCAGGTTCTCTCCTCCTCAACCACCCTCCCATGGCAGCGTCCCAGCCCCACCTCACCAGCTTTCTTGCTGCAAGGTCCCAAGGCCCCAGACTTGGAGCAGCCCAGGACCTGAATGAAGCTGGCTCAGGGGGTGTGTCTCATTCATGTCAGGGCTGGAGAAAAGGGCCACATACTGCGAAGCTGCTGCCCCCTCTGGCACTGGACACCAGTCCAGAGCCCAGAGGGGTCCCCCTGTGAAGAAGGACACATCCCAGCGCTCTGGGTGTGCTGTGATCGAGCTAAATCTAGAGAAAAGTCAAAGATGGGATGAAGAAAGGAATTAAAAGGTAACAAGGACTTCTGTAGGTGAGTGGGTAAATTAACATCCAAACAATGGAATATTATCTGGCACTAAAAAGCAAGCTATCAGACCATGGAAAGGCATGGAGGAACCTTAAATGCATATCACTAAGTGAAAACAGCCCACCTGAAGAGGCTATACACCGCATGATCCCAACTAGGGGGCATTCTGGAAAAGGCAAAACTATAGATACATCAAAAGATCCATGACAGGGATGCCTGGGTGGCTCAGTTGGTTAAGCAGCTGCCTTCGGCTCAGGTCATGATCCCAGCGTCCTGGGATCAAGTCCCACATCGGGCTCCTTGCTCATCAGGGAGCCGGCTTCTCCCTCTGCCTCTGCCTGCCATTCTGTCTGCCTGTGCTCGCTCTCTCTCCCTCTCTCTCTCTGACAAATAAATAAATAAAATATTTTAAAAAAAAAAAAAAAAAAAAAGATCCATGACAGCGACAGGTCAGAGGGGAGGGCAGGAGGAGGGGTTAGAGCAAAGAGGATTTTTAGGTCAGTGAAACTACTCTGTATGACACCATAATGACGGGGACAGGTCATTACACATCTGTCCAAACCCACAGAAAGTACAACACCGAAAGCAACCCCTAATGTAACCCACGGACTCCAAGTGGTGACGGGTCAGTGCAGGCTCATCAGCTGTAACACATGTGCCCTCTAGTGGGGGAGGCTGGTAAGGAAGGGGGGCGGCTGTGCATGAAGAAGGGGGATGGGGGACAGGGGACATGGGAGATCTCTGCACCACCCTCTCAGTTTTGCTGTGAATCTAAAACTGCTCCGAAAAAATTAAGTCTTTAAAAAAAAGAAAAGGTAATGAGGACAGAATGGGAGCTCCAGCTGGCGCAGATATGAACTGGCTTGGGCAAGGGCCAGAGTCTCAAGAAAGGTCTACAGGTGAGAACAGTGCTTGGCCACCATCTGTACCTTCCTCCTTTCCTTCCAAAGCCTGTCCAGCTCTAGTTCCCCTTCAAAGATAACAGGCTGTGCGTTCTGGTTTACCACAGCGTTCTCCCCACGGCCGGTCTGTCTGGGTCTCTGCGTAGATGTGACCTGTAAACTGGCCCTCCATCCCCCTCGCTCCCCTCAGTCTGGCCAGCAGTGACGAGCACTGCAGATCAGGGCGGGCTGACCAGATCCAGCCAGATCCAACTCCTCCCTTGGAACCCCCTGGAATAGCATCAGGGGAAAACAGGGCCAATCTGTCATCCCTCTCCATACACCTTTTTCCTGCTTCTATCCCCTAGAGTCACAGACAGACACGCAATCTTCACCTGTTTATTCGGTAGAGTGTGCCGTCCTCCGGAAGTCCTTCACGCTGGACAGAGAACAGTGGAGACTTCTCCTCCTGGGGCAGGTAGGGAGCCGCCTCACTGGGGGCGGGGAGGGAACAGCGTGAGTTTGGAAGTTTCACCCACCCCAGGATTCCCTGCCACCCTCCTGTCTCCAGGGGTGTCACCCCCTCCCAGCTTCAGAATGTCTCTTTAACTTACAGCTCAGATAACAAGTGCCACTTCCAGGCCAGCGGAATCCATTCTGCAAACTCCCAGTATGAATGCTTCTGTTCTCGGCTGGAGGAACAGAAGCAGCATCAATGGAGGAGGAGAGAAATCCTAGAGCAGCGCTGTCCAGTAAACCTTTCTACAATGATGGAAGTGATCCATCATCTGTGCTGACAGAGACACCAGCCACTAGTTGCAAGTAGCTACTGGGCACTTGAAAGGTGGCTAGTGCAACTGAGAACCTGGACCTTTATTTTAATTATGTGTAGATCACATTTAAATAGCCGTACACAGCTAGTGGCTACTATGTTGGACAGCACTGCTCTGGAGCTCTTTGCCTTTGGAGCAGTGCCTTTTAGTTACGAATGTCTTCAGTGTCCTGCCCTGTGAGTGCCTTCCCTCTTTCCCTTGGCCCCACTTCTAGATGCCTCCCACCACCCTCTCATCCCCAGCCCCCATCAAGTCTCACAGGTCCTTGGTGAGATGGAGGCACTTCCAAACAGGGGCCATGATGTGATTTGGTAAGCCATTGGGAGCCATTCCCCGGCAGTGTGGCTTCTGCTTCTGAGGAGCAAATGGGAAAAAAGGAGAATTTTATAGATTAAAGAAAGTCCCCAGAAGGCAGCTTTTCCCGTTTTACTTTTCTTGGCACTGTTTCCTCTCTAGCCTGACTTATCAGTAACTTAAAAGACTGATGTCTCTGCCATTACAGTGACTTCTCCACCTTCTGCTCCCGCTCCTCCATCAAAACTGCAAAGCCTGTTACGTATTTTCTGTTCACCCTCCTCGGCTTCTCCATGGCATGTGGTTCAGAGGACTTCCATTTGCTTCCTGAAACCCCTGCCCCATGGGATAGCGTCTCCTTAGTCTTCCTGCCTCTCTGATATTCCCCCACAGGCACTCCCCTCCTCCAACAGGTTTGTGTGATGAAGGTATTTCCCAGAGTCTGTCTTCTCAACTCTCTATACGTATACTCTGGGGACTCTCATTCCATGCCCACGGCTTTGACTACCATCATTAGGCCTGACATCTTAGTAAATGTAAACTTTACCCAGTTCAGCTTTTCTACATTCTAGACTTTTACAGTGTGGTGCCAACCCATGTTATAGAGCCTAAGGCAAAAGGAAAATCAGTAAATACAGTTCCTGTCTTTATTTAAAACTTTGGTATTTTGTTCATCATAAATTTGTTGCATTACTTTTTAAAAGATTTTATTTATATAAATATACTATAAAAATAAAGTGCATGAGGGGCACCTAGGTTGCTCAGTGGGTTAAGCCTCTGCCTTCGGTTCAGGTCATGATCCCGGGATCCTGGGATCGAGCCCCACATCGGGCTTTCTGCTCGGCAGGGAGCCTGCTTCCCCCCACCCCGCCTGTCTCTCTGCCTACTTGTGATCTCTGTCTGTTAAATAAATAAACGAAATCTTAAAAAAATAAAAAAACATAAAGTGCATGAGACAAAGAACACAAGCAGAGGGAGGGGAAAGGGAAACGGAGAAGCAGATTCCCCACTGAGCAGTAAGTCCAACAAGGGCTCGATCCTAAGACCCAGGATCATGACCCAAGCCCAAGGCAGATGCTTAACTGACTGAGCTACCCAGGGGCCCTGAATTACTTTTATATGTTAAAATGATTTAACAAATTATTTTGTAAAAATTTGCTGCATCAAAATATTTATCTTGATTTCTGAGGGTTTGGGCGCTCCCTTAAATGTTGTACTTGAAATAAGGAAGGCACTGGTCTCATGCACATGACTGGCAACCAGACATCTCCAGTAGGACGGCTCATGGCACACATGCACCTCCAACTCAGTGTGTCAGAAAATGAGCCCATCACTTCCCCTGCTCACCCTCACTCTTCCCCCGCTCCCACCATTCCTCTGTCCCAAAGTCCGGCACTTAAGAGCACCATCTAGACTAGAAACTCCTACTCCTTCCTTTTCAGAAACTGCTAAGTGCTGCTAATACTCTTGCATGTCTCTTGCACCTATCCCCCACCTTCGCTTGCTCTGCAGCCTGATCCAAGCGCTATCACCACGTGGCTAACCAAAGAGGTCTTCTGATGTCCGCTGCAGGCTGACCTACCGTCCTACCTGATCACGTTATTTTTCTACTTAAAAACTTCTGATGCTCAGAGTTTCTGTGATGATGAAAACGTTTTGGAAATGGGTAACAGTGATGGCTGCACAACGCCAGGAATGGGCTAATGCGACTCAGTTGTACTTTTTTTGGGGTGGGGGGAGCAGTGGGAAAGGGGAGAGAATCTCAAGCAGGCTCCGCGCCTAGCACAGAGCCTGACGCGGGGCTCCATCTCACGACCCTGAGATCTTGACCTGAGCCCAAATCAGGAGTTGGATGCTTAATGGACTGAGCCACCCAGATGCCCCAAAAATAATTTACATGTTTAAGTGGCAAATTTTATGTTATGTATATTTTACCACAATTCAACAAACATACAAACACCCGTGTTGGCTCCTACAAGACTTTGTCCTTCTATCCTCTCAAGTTCGATCTCCCCACTGCCTCCCCCCTGCCCCCAGCCTTCTGTTGGTCCCGCAGGGCACTGCTATACCTTTGGAAACTTGCTAAGAGCTCTCAACAGCTCTGCCTGCTCTGATGCCCTGTCCCGGGAGTTCCCGGGAAAACCAATCTCTCCTATTTGCCTTTTAAGACCTAGCCCAGCCCTGTTCACTGCTCTGTGAAGCCCCAGCAATTCACTGCCTCCTTGACACACCAGAAGCCTCTGGTTCCCTCCCGGTGAAGCCCTCCTCCCACGGTGGACTCCGCCAGGCAAGAGGAGGCTGTCTTAGTCACATGTGTCCCCTAGTGCTGTGCAGGGGCCCGTATCTGAAGGGGTGACCTCACGCGCTTGCCCCCCAGCCCCTGCCTGCTCAACTGTTTCCTCCTTTACTTATTGTGGCCATCAGTTACTAGGCCAAAGCTTTCCACTGGGGCACCCTGCAGACCTTCCTAACAGTCCCCCTGTCTCCCCATTCACTTCTTGTTCATTCAGCTTACCCCTGACGTGGATCCTCGCGGGGTGCTTTGAGGCACCACAGGCTCGGGTTCAGAGGAGCTCTCGCTTGGGGCCTCGCTTTCCTCTCCATCTTCAGCCTCAACCTGGAGAACAAAGTCTTCGTCCCGTGCAGTGTCATCCTCTTGTTCTCCACCTTGACAGGCTGCCTGCTGCCGGTTTTTCTTCGGTTTGGCAGGGCTGCTCACCTTGGGGCTCTCAGGACAGGACACTGGAGCAGGCAGGGCCGTTGAGAGCTCTTCGGCCAATTCCTGAAGGTACAGAAGTGCCCTGCAGGACAGGGAGGGGTCAGAGCCATACTCACACTTAATTGAGAGCCCACTTTTCCAGACACTTAGCCGATTATCTCAGTGGACCTGCCCAGTGACCCTGGGAAGCAGCTATTCGTTTCCCCTCCCCCCCTTTGATAAAGAACCAGAAATCTAGGGAAGTTAAGGGACTTGGCCAAGAGAGGATTCAGATCACGTATGTGGAATCTGAATCCAGGTCTGGCAAGTCCAAGGCACTTGCACTCTACCGCAGTCAAGAGATCAGTGAGAGACCAGAGAAGAATGGAAGGGCACAGAGACTGATAGACACTGGGTGGGGAAAATTACAATGAAGGCCTGGAGGAAACTGGAAAACGTGACAGGATACAAGGCAGGGAAAGCCATCTCCTAGACAAACTCAGCAACAGATAAAAAATTGTTGTGGTAAGAGCTAGAAGATGGCTCAAGTCCCCAGAACCCAGATGCTACCCGCACTTACCTGACAACTCGTCACAGCCTCTCAGCTCTCCAACACCTGCCCCCACCAACCCTTCACCCCGACCGCCCTCCACCCAAGCTGTGCCCCACAATCCTTACACTTGGGCAGCCCTTCGGCGGGGTCGTTCCCCAGGAGGGGTCTCAAAGTCCTCAGGGGGCCTCTTTGGAGGTGGAGACTCTGGCTGATCTAGGTCTTTGGACAACTTCAGCAGTAGCAGCTCTGCCTTGGACCTTCGACCTCGTTTCTTAGGCATGGGGGTGGATAGAGGGTTGGATTGATCTAAGAGACCAGGAACCAGAGGGGCTGATGGAGGATTAGGCTGTTGGGGCCTTTTGGGGCCTTTCCGTGTGCTACCACCTCTCTTCCGGCCAGGCTTTGAGGCCCTAGGCTTTGAGACCTTTGACATCTCTGAAGGAAGATCTGTAGAGAAGAATATGGGTCTGTGAGATGGGACCAGAGCTCAAACCTCTTTGGAATAGATTACACCATACCCAGGTTGGTAGGATCCTGTGAGCTCACCCTGCTCTCTTTCATCTTAAGCTAAGCACGGGGAGATAAAAAGAGGAAAGGACAAGGTACATACCTTGCTGTTCAAGTCTGGAGAGGCTTTCTTGCTCTGCAGGGAGCCTCCTCTCACCAAGAGAGTCCTCAAATCCAGGCAAAGGCGCAGGCAAAGACATCTCTCTGGAAGCCTCAGCACTAGTTGGTTCGGAAGAGGCCTTGACATCAAGCTGATTTAGCACCTCTTGTCCAGGAGAGTCTACCACAGTCATGCTCCCCACGGGGCCGGCCTCCCCCAGGGCAACACAGCCGACCCCGCAGGTATCCATCAGCACCCCCTACAATGGCTGCCCCTGCAGAGACATACACATGAGTAGAAGGCAAAAGCTATTTGCACTGGCTCAGATTTTTCCTCCTTTCCTGTCTTTTCTCCTCCCACCCCACCCACTGTCCACCCCGCAGCCAGAAACCTAAGCTCCCTGATCACTCATTCATTTAACAATTACTAAGCATCTTCTATCCGTTCTAGGAATTGGTCAATATGACAATAAGCAAGACAGACAAGGTCCCTGCCCTCATGGAACTTACACACTAACGGAGCTAGCACTGAACAGACAGTAAGAAAGCTACCATTTGGGGCGCCTGGGTGGCTCAGGTCATGATCTCAGGGTCCTGGGATTGAGCCCCGCATCAGGCTCCCTGCTCGGCAGGGAGCCTGCTTCCCCCTGTCTCTCTCTGTCTGCCTCTCTGCCTAACTTGTGATCTTTGTCTGTCAAATAAATAAATAAAATCTTAAAAAAAAAAAAAAAAGAAAGCTACCATTTATTTATTAAATGCTTACTATGTGCCAAGCACTGTATTTTTCAGCCAGTTTATTTATTTATTTTTAAAAGATTTAATTTATTGGGGCGCCTGGGTGGCTCAGTGGGTTAAAGCCTCTGCCTTCGGCTCAGGTTGTGATCCCAGGGTCCTGGGATCGAGCCCCACATCGGGCTCTCTGCTCAGCGGGGAGCCTGCTTCCTCCTCTCTCTCTGCCTGCCTCTCTGCCTACTTGTGATCTCTGTCAAATAAATAAATAAAATCTTTAAAAAAAAAAAGATTTAATTTATTTATTTGACAGAGGGAGAGACAGCGAGAGAGGGAACACAAGCAGGGGGAGTGGGAGAGGGAGAAGCAGGCTTCCTGCTGAGCAGGGAGCCTGATGTGGGGCTCGATCCCAGGGCCCTGGGATCATGACCTGAGCCGAAGGCAGACACTTAACCAACTGAGACACCCAGGTGCCCCTTTTTTCACCCAGTTTAATTTAAAGCTCTGAAGTTTTTTCATAAGGATAATGCAGTGAATGAACAATTATTCAACTTCTTTCCCTAAAACCCAATGAAATGAATCACCTCCTTCCCCTTAAAAAATAAAAACAAAAGAGTGAAAAAAATCTTCCTAAACTCCCTAAACCTCCTAGGAACAGACTACAAAGAATAACTACCAAGGGGTGTCTGGCTGATGGACACCGGGGAGGGCATGTGTTGCAGTGAGCTCTGTGTGTTGTGTAAGACTGATGAATCACAGACCTGTACCCTTGAAACAAATAATACATTATATGGTAATAATAAATAAGTAAAAGAATAGCTGCTGATAAATACATAAAATTTAGACCAAATTGAAGGAGGATGCCTAGAGCTAACATCCACCTTTGTGAATACTAGTCAAGAAATAGATTTATATAACAATAAGTAAAAGTTCTTTAGCGCTCTGCCATTAATCTTTTACCTGAAGAGGGGAGGCAGATGGCTATGAGATAATTAAGGAATATCCTACCACATTAAGAGACCTTTCCCACACTGAAGAATGGATTAAAAAACTGTTAAAAAGAGACGGAGAGAGAGAGATGACTCACACATGCACTAGAGCAGGGGAGGGACAGGAGAGGGAGAGTCTCAAGCAGACCCCTGCTGAGCGCAGAGCCTGATCCCAGGACCCTGAGCTCATGACTTCAGCCAAAACCATGAGTCAGTCGCTTAACTGAGTCACCCAAGCGCCCCTCTTCATTTTTTTTCCCCCAAACCCAGAAAACCACTTGTGCAATCATGGCAAAAGTATACTGACAAGAGATAAACAAAACACTGCACCCCAGACCAAAAAGCTGAGCAACACAGAACTGTAAGGTTTTTGGCCAGAATAACCTGCCCATGACAAAGAAGGAGAAATAGCTCAAATCACAGAAGGGAAACCCCCATGGGTCTGTATATGCCTTAAAGGATGTTTAATAGAGGGGTGTCTGGGTGGCTCAGTCATTAAACGTCTGCCTTTGGCTCAGGTCATGATCCCAGGGTCCTGGGATTGAGCGCCGCATCAGGCTCCCTGCTCAGCAGGAAGCCTGTTTCTCCTTCTCCCACTCCCCCTGCTTGTCTTCCCTCTCTTGCTGTGTCTCTTCCTGTCAAATAAATAAACAAAATCTTAAAAAAAAAAAAAAAAAAAAAGGATGTTTAATAGAACCAAAAGCAGTATACTACATTGCTTCTAAAATGCCTAGCAGGCCACTGGAACCATAAGGAGTTGTTTTAAAGGCTACAGAGTAAGAAACTGAAAACAAAAGAAACACAAAGAAAAGAAAAAATGTACAAGATGACTTAAGATATGACTATAACAATAACCAAAGATCAATTCATCCATTAAAAAAAAAGAATAAAGATTTGGATTTGGATTAATTTAAAAGCCAAACTATATGCTTTGAAAGAGATATCTAAAACAAAGGAACTCAAAGAGCTGGAAGCCAAAAGATATAAAAATATAAGGCAAATGTAGGCACAAAGAAAACAGGAGTTTTGTTGGTAATAGCAAAGTTGAATTCAGGGGGAAAAGTATTAAAAGGGACAAAAAGGGAATACTTTATAATAATAAATAAAACTTCAACTTGTATAAAAGATAAGTGTCATGAACTGTTAGACATCAAATGACATATCATCAAAACAAAGCAAAATCTTCAGGAAATACAAGAACTACTTCTTTTAACCCCTGACAGATCAAATAGATAAGAAGACATGAATGAAATGGTTATCTGACCTCTCTACTGGTCAAGGTTCAGCTGCATGGAACAGAATCCTCTCTAGCCAGTTCAGCTGCAAGGGATTTATTGGAGGGTATTACATGGTTCACATCAGTGGTTCCTAAAGTGTGGTCTGCGCAGCATCAGCACCGCTGTCCCAGACCTCCTGAATCAGAAACTCTGGGATAGGGGCACCTGGGTGGCTCAGTGGGTTAAGCCGCTGCCTTCGGCTCAGGTCATGATCTCAGGGTCCTGGGATCGAGCCCCGCATCAGGCTCTCTGCTCGGCAGGAGCCTACTTTCCTTCCTCTCTCTCTGCCTGCCTCTCTGCCTATTTGTGATCTCTGTCTGTCAAATAAATAAATAAAATCTTTAAAAAAAAAAAAAAAAGAAAGAAACTCTGGGATGGGGCCAGAACTTTGTATCTTCACAAAGCCCTGCAGACTCTTTGGATGCACATGCAAGCTTGAGAACCACCTGCACAGGGTCACTGGGAGGGCTGGGGGAGGGGGGCGTTGTACAGTTTAGGAACAAGTGCTTGTCAAAATGGGAAGTCACCTGGCAGCTGCCATTTCAAGAACCACAGGACCTCACCAATGCCACGATGAGGAGGCGGCACCTGTGAATCAAGAAGCCCCTGCCACAGCTGATGGCTCCATGAACTACCTCTGCACTGATCAGAAAGTGACCCGACTCCACAGGGAAAACCTTTTTCTGGCTCCCAAGTCCAGAATCATACCCTTGCCACAATCTGAACCAGAAAAATATATGGCCTCCTGGCCTGCCTCTCCCCTGTCTAAACTCGGATCCAAATTTGAGTTCTTCAAGAACATACTAGCGAGTGATTAGCAAGACCTAAATCATATTCAAAATATTGGATAGAAAAAAATTCCAGGAATTGAAATTTCTAGCTTTCCAGGCTCTCCAGTAGAGGCTTCTCCTTCTGTCACATCCCACTGACCCCAAAGTAGAAAAGTGGGATCAGTGTCTTGTCAGTTCCTCTCCGATACCACTGGTAGACTAGCTGTCCTCGCTATCCTCTAAAAACTGTTCCTTTGAAGCTCCTAACATTTAGCTAAACCACTGCTACTCACTCGCTGTAATATACTGGACCTTGTTGTCTCAAAAAACCTTTTAACCTCCTAAATCACAAAGCCATCCCACTATCTGATCGCAACCTTCCGTTATTACAGCTAGACTGCTCAACTGCTATCACTGTATCTATTCTTCAACCGTATCAAGCCGCCGTCATTGATCTCTCCAATTTCCCATGTTGGCCACATCCTATCCAGCTTAGATTCCTTTATTTTAATCAGACTTTTGCCGATAGTACAAACTTCCTTTCTCGTTTTTTTGTTCCACAGGACTGGCAAAATTTAAGCTCTGGATGAACCAATCATCCTTTTACTCTACGTGTGTATCTAAGCTGCCAGCGGGCTAGCAATCACACTTTCTCTCTTGTCAGCCCCCACATTACCTCTCCCCCAACATCTGATCCCCTGGTTCTCAGCAGATGATTTTACCTCTGATTTCCAAAACAAAACCCAAAGCCATTATGTGGGACATACTTCGATGTCTGATCAAGTAGTCCAACACGACCTGCATCTGAACGCCTCATCTACTTTCTAAGCCAAACTTCCACTTGTGTTCTGGCTCTATTCCCCCACTCCCTAAGGACAGTGGAATTGGTTAACCTTTTTTTTTTAAAAAAATGGTTGTTTCCCAACTGCATTTAAATGTCTCTAGTTCTCGGGCGCCTGGGTGGCTCAGTTGGTTGGGCAACTGCCTTCGGCTCAGGCCATGATCTGGAGTCCCAGGATCGAGTCCAGCATCCGGCTCCCAGCTCCACAGGGAGTCTGTGCTTCTCCCTCTGACCTTCTCCCCTCTCACACTCTCTCACTATCTCTCTCTCAAATAAATAAATGGAATTAAAATAAATAAATAAAAATAAATGTCTCTAATTCTCATGTTAACATACATACAACAATCCTTTAAGCCATATCCCCCCCCACCACCACACCCCACAGTCAAACTTTTAAAGAATTGTTGGCCCTTGGTGTTTTAATTACCCTGCTTCATTTTGACTAGGATATTGCCCTCCAACTCATCACTGAGGCTAAAGTCATCAATAACTGCTGGGTCAACTAATGCAATGGACACTTCTCAGTCTCGTTTAACCTGATCTCTCAGCAGCACAGACGCTACTGATGGTAACTTTCTTGGAACATTCTCTTGAGAGGCAGTTCTAGTGCAGCAAAGTTTCAGATTTTTACAAATTTTCCTCAATCTTTTACAGCTGTCTCACTCACACCTATTCAGCAGCCTCTTTCTTTCTTTGCAAATGTACCTCTTTTTTCTTTCCGAAGCATTTAACTTGGTTTGCTTTCTTTTTTAGAATTGTTTTTATAAAACTTTTAATTGACACAAAATACCTGTAAATACATGTAGGATGTAAAGAATAACAATGAAGTACCAATTTATCTGCCATGTTTCAACCACTTTTTTTTTTTTTTTTTTAGGATTTTATTTATTTATTTGACAGAGAGAGAGACGGGGAGAGAGGGAACACAAGCAGGGAGAGTGTGAGAGGGAGGAGTCAGCTTCCCGCTGAGCAGGGAACCTGATGTGGGGCTCCATCCCAAGATTCTGGGATCATGACCTGAGCCAAAGGCAGACACCCAACGACTGAGCCACACAGGTGCCCCTCAACTTAGTTTTAATAGCAGTAACTCTTTCATACTCAAATTTCTTTAAAATTCAAACATATATCACAATTATATAAATATGATAACAAATTAACTGACATTAAAAAATGTTGAGAACCATCACAATGATTCTTGGCAAGCATTCAATTCAGTCAGTGGGAATAGAATGACCAGGCCTATAGGAGAAGCACCTATATATAGGCTTCAAGGATACAGTGTGCCATGGGCATCGGTCCCTACACTCTACAGAGGAATGTCAGTTAACACAGAACTAATTAAACAGGTTATCACTTAAGAGAATTTCTAGGTATGCCTAAAAGATTTTCCACATCAGTACACACACACACATCATTCTTCTGGGGAACACTATCCAGTGTTTCACAGAATTATAGTTGTACTCATTTTACCACACCCTTGCCAATCTTTAATTTTTGCCAATCTAATGCATGAAAGAATTCTTCCCTATTGTATTTATTTGCATTGTCCTCATAATGATTGAAGTTAGCAACTTCTTTTTATCTGTTGGATATACAGATATCCAACGAGATATATATATATATATATACATACACACACACACACATATATATGTGTGTATATATGTATACATATCCATATATACATACACATATATACACGCGTATATATACATATATGTATATGCTCCCCCTGCTTGTGCTTGCTCGCTCTCTCTAATGAATAAATCTTAAAAAAAAATAAAAAAGCTACATTTAAGATTCGAACTAGAGAAAGTATTGGAAGAAAAGAAGATAGGATATGTTTATATTGGCAGGGTAGGAAATGGCCTTTTTAAGACAATAATATGGATACACACACACACACACAACATGCACATTATTTTAAAGATTTGAGAGAGAGCGCATGCACACGCAAGCACGAGGGAGAGAGGGAGAGAGAATCTCAAGCAGACTTCTCACCCAGTAAGGAGCCCCACACGGGGTTTAATCTCACGACATTCAGATCAAGAACCGAGCTGAAAACAAAAGTCAGTCACTTAACTGACTGTGCCACCCCCAGGCACCTAGAATATATCACAAACAAATAAAATCTTTTAAAAAATTATTAAAAAAAAAGATTTTATTTCTTTGTGTGAGAGAGAGCATGCGCGTAGGTGTAAGCAGGAGGAGCAGCAGGCAGAGAAGCAGGCTCCCAGCTGTGCAAGGAACCCAATGTGGGACTAGATCCCAGGACCCTGGGATCATGACCTAAGCCAAAGGCAGATGCTTAACTGCCTGAGCCACCCAGGGACCCACTTTTTTTTTTTTTTTTATTTATTTCTTTGTCAGAGAGAGAGAGAGAGAGAGGACATCTGTATTTTTTTACGAATTGCCTATACATAGAATTTGCCCATACCTCTACAGGATGAATCAATCTTTTATTGATCTGTGGAGTTGTTATTTATGTTGCAAATACTTTGTTTCTGCTTTCTAGAGAAGATTTATTATTTTGGGGGGGAGGGGCAGAGAAAGAGGGAGAGAGAGAATCGCAAGCTGACTCTTCACGGAGCTTGGAGTCATAGCTGGGGCTCCATCCATACCCTGAGACCATTACCTGAGCTGAAATCGAGAGTCAGGCGCTGAACTGACTGAGCCACCCAGCGCCCCACTTTGTTTCTTCTTTAAAAAAAAAAAAATTGTTTATAATGTTTCTTGCTAAACTTAAGTTATATTTTTCTGAGTTAAATTTCTCAGTCTTCTCCTTTATAAATTGTTTTGCGTCTTAAAAAGGCCATTTCCTACCCTGCCAATATAAACATATCCTATTTTATTTTCTTCTAATACTTTCTCTAGTTTGAATCTTAAATGTAGCTTTTTTTTTTTTAAAGATTTATTCATTAGAGAGAGCGAGCAAGCACAAGCAGGGGGAGCAGCAAGCAGAGGGAGAAACAGGCTCCCCACTGAGCAGGGAGCCCAACATGGGACTCAATCCCAGGATTCTGGGATTATGACCTGCGCCAAAGGCAGATGCTAAACTGACTGAGCGACCCAGGTGCCTTAAATGTAGCTCTTCAGTCCATGTGGAATTCTCTTATGATAAGAAACATGGGTATTTACTTATTTCATATCTATTTCAATTGAAAGTTTCATAAGAATTTTGCCTGATTCACTACTGAATCCAGAACCTGGTACTTGGTAAGCGCAATAATTAAACTTTGTTGATTTAATGACTAACTCCTCAAGCTGCAAAAAATTCCTCTAAGGATTCACTCCTGTAGAAGACAGCAGCAGGGTATGGTGGTTAATTTCCATTTATGATTTCACAACACAAATTCTAAACACAAGTAAAGGAAGGGATGTTTAATTGGTGCTACAGTTTATAGAAGTTTACATTTGCACCTCAACTTGTTTGGAATACTGCCTCAAGGGTGCCAGGATTTCCCCAGTCAAGGAAAATAACCAGTTAACACGGTTCCTGAAGTATGGAATTACTTTAAACACATTTGCCTAATACACTGTTTCCCAAAGTGTTCCGATGGCGCAGCTGGTGGTATGCAAGACGATTTTAGAGATACAAAAATGTACGATTTTAACTGTGTTTATTTTAACTTGTATGAAAAACTAGCCCGTGGGGGCGCCTGGGTAGCCCAGCCTGTAAGCCTCCCATTCTTGATTTCTGTTCAGGTCGTGATCTCTGGGTCGTGAGACCGAGCTCTGGAATCCGGCTCCCCGCTGGGCTCGCAGCCAGCTAAAGATTCCCTTCCCCGGCGCCCCTCCCCCCGACGCCCCTCCGCGCGCGCGCTCGCTCTAAAAAAAAACACAAAAAACTCCACAGTCCTTGAAACCCACGGTTTCATATGTCTTGCTCAGATTGAGACTAAAGCACTTAAACTTGAAAAACAGTTTAAAGAAAACTATTAAGAAAATAATAGTATATTAGATAAGACGGGATGGCAAAAAGTAACCAAGGAAGAGGAATGGCTGAAGTTTGTTTAATATGCCGCTAGATCGAAGAGGCTTCGCCAAACACACTACACCTCTCTAACAAAGTGAGTTACCACGGGTGGGGCCGAAGTCGCCTCCTCCGCCTTCCCCAGCGGACAGCCTACTTGCCGCGGGATAAAAGCACCAGAAGGGAAACATAACTGGCCCTTGGCTGCGCCAATGGGGTTGGAGCGCGCCGGGCACAACCCCGGGGCTAGAAGAGCCTCATGGAGGAAGAGGCTGGGACACAGCACCGTGAGACTAATCCGCTACCACTCTAGGAGTGATCGCCTGCCCCTTCTTCAGTCATGGGTGTGGGGACAGCCTCCACCACTAGCCTGCGCTGAGAGCGAGCCCTGAGTTTCCTGAGGCTCAGAACTACTATAGCTTCGCTGAGTCCGACGGATGCAATGTAAGCAGCGCCGCGGCCGGGACACAGGATGCCGTGCTACCGCACCGCGTCGGGGAAGAAGGCAAGAGCCGTGATCAGCAGGGCTGAGGGATGTCCGGTTGCAATACAGAAAAGGAGGTGGGGTGTGTTTGAGTTTCTGTAGCAGCGCCGGGGCTGGAGGTCGCGATGCTATGCAGAGAAGGAACAGCGGAGTCGGGAGTTGGTTCCCAATATCTTAGTGCTATGGGAAAAGGAGGAGGAGGAGTAATCGTGGGGCCCCCGCACACCCCGTTGCGGTACACTTACCCTCACCAAAGTCCTTCCGGAAGTCCAAGTTCGAAGATGGCGCCGCCTGTCTGGTCGCGGTTTTATGACGAAATCTGGTAGCTACTCTTTATTGACCCCTCCCCCCACCCCCGGCCTCCAATGCACAAGGTAAACACGTGAGCTTGGTGGGGAGTTTATGCCCGAAGACGTTTTCTCAGACTATGTATTCCATAATGCAGTGCGGCGACAATCCCGCGCCCTTTCGGAGCGTGCGAGGCTCCCGGGCTTAAGCCGCGCGGGGGACGCTGCGTGGCCTTCTGGGAATTGCAGTGTCAAGAAAGGAAGATTGACGCCTGCGCGATGAGGGTCGTCGCGCCCCGCGGGTTCCCACGGGCCCTGTACGCGAGCCTCGAGCGTACTGCGCGCCCAGGCCTCGCCGCCGCTCCCGAGCGCTGAAGGCTGCCTAACTGTCAAGACTACCTGCCGTGTGGCAGGCAGGGCCAGGCTGGAGCGACAGTAACTACCCCGGCGCCGTCCGAACTGAGGGCACAGACTGAGAGAGGAAGCCTTGGCAGGCTGCTGGAGAATCCTCTGCCCCGGGCAGCCGCTCGCAGGAAGACAAGGAAGACAAGGATGGGAGCTACAAAAACACAAAGAGTGCTAGGGAAAGGACACGGAAGGGAAACCAGTAGAAAAAACCTTGGCGTGGGGACACTACCCTGTAATGAGCCTCAGGCTTGGCCCTTGGCCTTGGTTGGGCATAGGCCCTTCCTCATTCCCTCCTTGGGAGATGGGATGCGGGTGAACAGTAACAAATTTCTGCCCTTTCCGAGAGATTTAAAGCCATATAAACTTTACAGGTCTCAGCATACTAACTAGTAGAGTTCAGGATGTGTAAATAGGGACAAGAAGGGGTGGAGTCAACCAGTCTTTTGTTCCCAAAGAATTTCACCTATTAAATTCCCTTGGTCACACAAAACATTTGAGAAAAACGTGGGAGGAACTAGCTAAGACTTAATAGCGGGAGTAAAGGGACTCCCACCCCAACTCTTAGCAGCCTAAAGGCAAAAGCAAGGCTGTGCTGTGACTTAGGACCAATTTTGTGAGAACTCAAAATTCAGTGCAGATAAGGCTGCAGTTCCCCTAATAGTACTATCTTAAATGCTTGTCGGATGGACAGCTCTCAGCTTCAAACACTTCTGTAATGAGGAAATGTCTCTTCTGCTGCCTCAGATTAGGCTATCTTCGACTTAACTGCAAAATCTTTTATAGTAATTATATTCATTTTTCGGATAAGATATCACATGGCTCAAAATTGAAACACAGGATATAAAGTGAAGACTCCCTTCCACCTGTCTCCACATCCGCACAATCAGTTCCTTATTACAGATCCAAGATATTTTATATATTTATACATATAAGCAAATTTTTTATATTTACCCTTTTAATTTAAACCGATACACACACTGTCCTGCATCTGGCTTCTTTTAACTGAGTGTACCTTGGAGATTGTTCCATTTCTGTACATAAAAACCTTCCTCCCATTCTTTTTTATGACTGCTTAATAATGATATAAATGTAATATATAGTTGACCGCGGGGTTAGAAGCGCCTACCCCTAGGCAGTGGGAAATCTGCATGCTAACTTTTTCTCCCCCCAAACTTAACTACTAAATAGTCTGCTGTTGACTGAAAGTCTGTAAACTGTCAAACACATGATTTGCATGTCAATATGTATTATATATTGTATTCTTACAATATGCTAGAGAAAGGAAAATGTTAAGAAAATCATAAATACATTTACAGTAGTGTAACAACAACAAAAAAAACATATGTAAGTGGACCCACACAGTTAAAACCCATGTTGTTCAACAGTCAACTATAATCTGAATTAGTCCCTTGTTCTTAATGAATATTTAGGTGGTTTCCAGTCCTTTGCAGTGATAAACAATGCTGCTATAAATAACTTTGTTACCTCAAGCATGTGCAGCTATTTGGGTAGATAGCATAAATTCCTAGAGGCAGAATTGCTGGACCAACATTTTGGTGCATTTGTAATTTTGATTGACAGGCAATCTTTCAAATGGTCTGTTTCCCTACTTCTAATCTCTACCAGTTACCTTTCTAAAATATAGAGTTGACCCTGTGGATCCTCTGCTTAATTTTAATGATTGAGTAATATGCTCAATACATAAAAAACCCATGAACTGATAATCCTTTTTTTAAAAAAGAGAGAAAGCCTACTAATCCACAACTACTTATTGTATGCCGCAGGAAGTTAAGTAGTGATCAATTCTTGGAAACTAGCAAATAAAAGGAAACATTTATCCTGTCTTTCCAGTATGAACTCTAATTCAGAATAAACAGAAGGAATTCTTTTTAGATGATCACCAGCTAGTAAATATGGAAAGAATCAGAGAATTAGGAGGAAAAATCATTTTGCATCCTCTAATGAAATAATTCAGGCAATAACCACCAGTGGTTATAAAACCACCAAATGAAAACTTGGTGAGAAACTTAAAAACTTCAAACTTTAACTGGACCCACTCATCACTGAATATGGGACAAACAGCTATTATTTGCCTCCTGATGTGAGGCGATATGAAACGCAGCACCATTTACTAAGTATTCTTCCCAAAAAGTTGCATGGAAACAGAGGGGTTAGAGGAATGAGTTAAATGGTACCATATGGAAGCCAATAGTCAAATCCAGAGTGGGGAACATTTTATAAGATAACTTGGTATCTGGAACAAGTCAGTGTCCTGAGAACAGGAGGGAGGCTGAGGAGACTGCTTCTGCTAAACTGAACACCTACTTACCAATTGTAATGGACCGATTTGTTTGGGTCCTGATTCAAACCAACCAACTGCAAAAAAGCCAGTTTTGGAGACAAGGAAATTTGATTATGGATTGGACAATACTAAGAATTTAATAGGTGTAACAATAAAACGGTAAACTTCTGTATTTTTTAGAGACACATACTGAGGTTTGTAGAAGTGAAACGATACAATATCTGGGATTTGCTCTAAAGTAACTTCAGCAAGGGAAAAAAAAAGGAAATAAAAAGAAAGCAAATGTGGCCAATCTTGATAATTATTACAGCTAGGATGGGGATTCTTAGCATAGTTCACTCGACTTCTGTTTGAAAATTTTCAATAAAACACACATAAATGTACACACAAAACAGATGACTCTCCCATTTTTTTAGGCTAACCGCAATAGTTAAGACTCACAGTCTGGCCCCAGCCCAACCTACTTTGTGTCTGTATCACTCACTCTCCACATAGGAGAGTGAGTCTCCGGTGTAGGTCTCGGGTGTAGCCTCACCACACCATTTTGACACTGGATTGGCCACTCTGTTTTCGCATTCAAGCTAATCCCACTGCTGATCTGCCTTCCCATTCTTTTCCAACTGGGAAACTCCCGACCCTCATAGATCACATGCTCCTTGTGAAGTCTTCTCTGACCTTATTAGGTTTCCTGGCATCATCTGTGATTGCTTCCTAGGAACTGTTAATACGACTAGTGGAACCTCTCTCACTTGCAGATACTGTCTGCTTCCACCAAGATCGGTGTTCCTCAATGGCAGATGGCATAAAAGTTAGGGGTACATTCTCCCAATCCAGAAAGCATGAGACCGCAAGCTGCTTTTGTTACTGTATTGCCCTGGACAAGTAACTCAGCCTCTCTGTGCCTTAGCTGTGTTGCCTTGGCAAGGAACTTAACCTCTGTGTCTCAGTTTTCTTATTTGTAAAATTTCCTTTTAGAGAGCTATCCTAACCTCCTTAAACAGATCAGAAAGGGATTACAGCAGTTTCGGACACCTGAGAAGTACTCAACACTCAAAAATCCCTAAGTGGGGCGCCTGGGTGGCTTAGTGGGTTGAGGCCTCTGCCTTCGGCTCAGGTCGTGATCCCAGGTCCTGGGATCGAGCCCCGCATCGGGCTCTCTGCTCAGCAGGGAGTCTGTTTCTTCCTCTCTCTCTCTCTGCCTACTTGTGATCTCTGTCTGTCAAATAAATAAATAAAATCTTTAAAAAAAAAAAAACAAAAACCCAAGAAGTACTCAAAACTGAAGATGAGATAATTTAACCTGTCAATATAAATATTAGATTAATGATCATAAAATACTAAAGATAGCTCTCGGGTTTGTCCCTACATTCCTCCACATACCTAGCCCAGCGTCTGTACCCTAAGCGATGGCGATACTAAAAGAGATACAAAGGCAGCACAGTTGCTGAATGCATGGAGCATGTAATTTATTGACCCTGTGTTTCCCCACTCACTGGTCACTACTCTTGACTCGCAGAACAACAGGTACAGAACTGCAAGGAATCATTCCTAGCTCCGTGATCACCAGATCCACCAGTTCCGGGGGGGTCACGTCATAGACTAAATTCAACAACCGCAGGGACAGGTGGTTCTGCCAGTTAGCCAGGGCCACGTGTTCTCCTCGCTCACACAGCAGATCATCAGGGTCACCTGCAACAGGAGACGTACCCATTTATGTCCTTTGAGAAAATAAGTTGTAATTCAACCTTCCCTCTCCCTCCCAAATCTCAGATCTTCGGAACCCTCTTTTCTGCCCTCCTGGGCTCCTTACCTAGCTCATTAGAGACAAAGGCATCAGTCTGCACACGCTCACAAAACTTGTATGTTTCACAGCAGACCAGCACTGGCACATTATGCGCTCGTGCCACCAGGGCCAGCTGCGCTGTCCCTACCCGTGACATCACGGACCCGTTGGCCAGGAGTGCATGAGCTCCCAACAGCACCTTAGAAACCTATTGTTTTGAACAGTGGAGAGGCGGAGAAAATGTGGCTTGTGATTAATGCACAAAAAAGTTCCCCACTCCTGCCCAGGATACCAATATTAAGACAATAACAGAATGTAATGGTTCTTCTTGGAAAACACCTGACCGTTGATTGACCCATTCCATCTCCCGTAAGAAAATGAAACTCCAAAGTTACTTTTGCCCTGTTTTCTCTTGAGAGCTGCTAGTTTACCGTCCTTACAATAACAACATTGCTAGACCATGCTGTAGCTGCTTTTCCTATTAAATACAAACTAAGCTATAAAATTCTAGTGTATTTAAATAATCATAACCTTGGGAAGATGGGATTATGTCTACACCACTACATCCTTTACCTTCAACTTTAGAGTCCCTTTCCTCTGCTCTCACCTCTGGGAGCACATAGGAGGCTGCAGAAATCAGCAGGTAGGAGGCAGGGACCCCAGCACGGACCAGAAAACGTAGTGTGTGCCTTCCCTCCAGCCATGGCCGGCTGTCC